GCAGGGGGTTGGACTAGAAGACCTCCAAGGTCCCTTCCAGCTCGTTTCTGATTGACTTCAGGGCTCTCTGCCCAGGGCTCTGGGGGGGGCTATGGGTGAGCAGACTCTCACCTCCTAGGAGCTCCTCTTCACCCCCTGGGCACATTCTACACTTTCCACAACTCCTAAACAAATGTTCCCGTTTGCCTTTTATAGCTAAGGCTGCCCCACCAGGCTGTTCCCGTCCTCAGGCTGCTTGCAGAGGCCGGATTCAGCAGCAGCTCTGCAGAGGGAAGCAGGAGCCGAAAGCCAACCTACAGCCATGATTTAGCCTGGGGTGCTGCACAAACCCACTTGTGCAACCAAGTTAAGGCTCCACTTGCAATGCCAACCCAGAACATGGGTTGTTTTGTTGCATTAACTGTGGGAGGCAGGTCACTGAATGCAGCCGTGGGAAGTTGGACAGGTTCTATCCAATTCACACATCACGCTAAGCCAGGATTTGTTTTCTGAAGGGGAGGTTGAAGAAGCCTCCTCACACACCACGTGAAGCAATTATCCTTGGTTGATAAGCCTTCATGCCAGAAGCCACACCAAGGGCTAAAGTAAAATGAAATCAAATCATTGACCTTCCTTTTTCCATCCACGGAAAGAACCTCATGGAGGACAAGGGAGCGGCTTCAACCACATGGCCATCTACCAAGTCTTACGACAAGGGCCCAGAGGACCCCCAGGCCCATGTGGCAGGAAGAGCTCGGGGGTGCTTAGGCTTCCCCAGACCTCCCTCTGGGACTGCAGGAACGGGTTGGGTAGGGGGCCGCCTCCTGCTTCCTCCCTTCTCCCTCTGGCCTTTGATGCCCACCTGAGAACCAAAGATCCCAACAGATGTTCTCCAGCTGGTCAAAGCGGATCAAGCCAAGCCCGGATTCCTTTCCCCATCATCACCTTGCCCTGCCTTTCCGTTGATCAAAACGTGCAAAAATACAACCCCAAGGCGAAACCACGGAATTGCGTTCATTAAGCCAAGTTGCCTTATGTAACAGCTGCCCATGAGATCATCTGTGACTCCCTCCCCACCCCCCTTCCAGGAGAAAAACCCTGCAATTAACTGGATGACATCACCCTACCTGCAGCCACCTCCTTAGATGGACATCGCTGGGCACCGAGGCCTCAGCAGCAGGCAGGGGGCGGAGGGGGGGAGGGGGGAGAGGGGCAAAAGCAGGAAGTGGGGCTTTTTCAGCTAACAGAGGCTTCCTTAAGCTTCTGTCCTTTCCTTGACTGGCCTCTATTTTGGGGGGCAATTATTGTCCCCCAAGCTTGGAATAAACCTGCAGATTGTTCCAGGCTTCAGGCAGTTCCGTGCAGGGGGAAACAAAGGACAGAAGGGGCTTTAATTCCCTCCCGGTGCCCCATGGTTAAAGTTTAAGCCTTTCCCTTTCTTTTAGACCGAAGGTTGCCAGAGAAAGGAAGGATTCGGCAGGCAGCAAAAGAGGGTCCCTCTTTGTAATGGGGGGAGCACTGAGAAAGGAAAGGTCTCCCCTGCAGCTGGAAACCTAAATACTCCAAGAGTTTCTCTTCCAGCTATGCTCCCGAGTGTTGCAATGAGCCCTGGGGGTGGGGGTGAGGAGGGGGCTGTATTGGTATTGGAGTTTCTCATGCGAACGGCTGTGGGTGATTCTGGAGCTGGGTGTCAGCGAAGGAGGCAGGCGGACACAGTTCCGAATTTTGGGGTTTGGGAAGAAAGGCTGGCACCCCCCTTTGCTGGGAGCGAGGAGATCAGATCCTCCCGCTCTGGGGACTTCCATGTTTTGACAAGGGCGATGGTGAATCACGTCATCCCTGGAAAATGTGCTCAGGCCTGCCGCCTTCTGCATTTCCCAGGGCTTCCGTCAGCCGTTTGCTCCCTCGCTGGTGGGGTTCCTGGGATGGAGGGGCTCCACGGTCTCCCCACTGCCCCTTTACAGTAAGGAAGGGCTGGGTTTAATTCTGCACCGTCTTTGCACCAGAGGGGTCTGCATCTGGCACTCCCCCCCTCGGATCCCCCTTTGGGGCTGTGAGTGATGAAGCAGGACCCTGAGGCTGAGCCCCGTTGTACCAGGGGATCTCCTTCTCCTCCCTCACTCCTGGATCTTCTCTGGGGAGGCAGGGAAGAGGCGAGGGAAGCTCTATGGGTCATAATGGGCCCCACAGCTATCTGAATCTTTCCCCAGGGCAGCAGTCCAGCTCCTCCAGCCTCCTCCGGTGACTGACGCACATCAGGCTCGACCACCAGTTTTGAGGCAATTCATCACCAGAAGAGGCCATAAACCCTGTGCAGGATGAAGTAGCTGCTAAAGCTACAAACTGGGCCGGAAGGAAGGAAGGAAGGAAGGAAGGAAGGAAGGAAGGAAGGAAGGAAGGAAGGAAGGGACTTCATGTCAATTAGCTGCCTGGCCTTCCTCCCTCCCTCCCCATGTTAAGAAACAGCCCTGCCCCAGCTTTTCTGAAACCCCCACCTTCCCTTCCATCTTCGAACGGGAGAGCTGCCCCTTTAAACAGCAGCTCTCTTGAGAAGATTGAAAACAGGACATCTGCCGTGCGCCCCTCTGGAATGTGGGCCTGAGGCAAAGAGCTCCCCATCCAGAGAGATGCATACGCGGGAGCAAAATACCCTAATATGGAGCTGATCACGCTGCCCCCCTCCCCCCTCTCTACCCCCTGGCAGTCTCTGCTCTGTGTCTTGGCGACGGGGGGGGGGCATTTTGTACCCCTGGCCAAGCTGCCTTTACATTCAGTAAACACAACCCCCTCCCAAGAGAGGCATCCAGGCGGAGGGGGGCAGTTCCTGGGGGGTGGCAGTCAGAAAGGGCAAACTCTGGGCATCGCAAACTCCATGGCCACAGATGCCCGAGCCCAGGAGAGCTTGAGGAGGGGGCTCCGAGGCATTCCCCTTCCCATCTTTTAAGAGAGAAGCCTTATTTGGAAACTGAACTGTGAGATCCTGGCCCCCCAACCACCATCCTGGCTCAGGCTGCTTTTAAAGGGGCTTATCCAAGCTTTTAGGAAGGAAGCAGATCCTGCCCCCTTTCTGCTCCTGGAGAGGGATGCGCCCCACACCCTGGCCGTGAGGGGGGCTTCTGAGCTGGCCTGTGAGATGCTGGAGCAGAAGGACCCTGGCTGGCTCCAGAAAGCCATAATTCACTTTTATCGCAAGGGACGATAGATTTCCATTTTAAAAAGGAACCCAGGGGAAACCAAGCCTTTTCTGGCCCTCTGTGCGCTCTCTGAGGGAAGGCAGTGATTTATGCGCCTGACGTGAGAGCATTTCGTACTCTCCATTCCAGAGGACAAAGTGGAGCACTTTGAGGGCAGGGAGGGGGGGCAGTCAGAAGCTTTCCCTCCCCTGAAGATGCGAGTGGGGTCAAGCCCCTTGCCTGGGGCAGCCCTCCCAAGCTTGCCCTCCCTCCCCACCTGGTTAGAGTATATCTCCCATCATCCCCACCCAGCATTTGCTTCAGGAAGGCGTTGGTTGCACTAACTAACCCCTAATGCTAAACCTGGTGCCATGTGGAAGGGATGAGTCTCTTTGCAACTCTAAGCCAGGGTTTCTCAACCTGGGTAATTTAAGAGAGGTGGACTCCAACTCCCAGAATTCCCCAGCCAGCTATGTTGGCTGGTGAATTCTGGGAGTTGGAGTCCACCTGTCTGAAAGTGGCCTGGGTGGAGAAACACTGTTCTAAGCTGTAATGGCTGGTTCACCCAACAGGTAAGCCAAACCCAAAGCAGCCAGCCCCTGCGCACTCCATCCAGGGCTCTTCGCCTTGGGGAGAACCAGCTGCTGACCTACAGTTCCCCCCACCACCACCCCCACCCCCGCAGTGCCCCACCCTTCAGCCTGGCTGCATGAGCAGACGCCTTTTTGATCTGGCTCCTGCGAGGCTTCCAGGATGAAGACCAAGCAGCACGATGGACAGCTGCCTTCTGCCAGCACAAAAACAGTGCGATCCTGCCAACGGTCAGCCCTAAGACCCAGAAGACTTTGGCACCAAACCTGGGAAGCGAGGCAGGAAAAACTCTTGTGAATGCACCAGTGGGGAGATAAAACGGCGAGTGCCAAAGACTGCCCCCCCCCTTTCAAACCAGCCCAACCTGGAGCACCACAGATGGTGACAACTCAGCTCAGGAATGCCCCTCGGCCAGCCACAAAAACGCCGAGCATTTCTGAATTCCTGAGCTTGGAAGAAAGGCCGGCAACCGAGGCTGCTTACTAAGTTTTCCTGCGCTGGGCAGTTGCCTCGCCAAATATGCTGGGAATGCGCAGTCTCACTTTCAGCGTATTCCTTTTCCCTCCTCAGAAGGGGCTGAAAAGAACAGATCAGACGGGCAACGCAGAATTTGGACCGTTCCCCAACAAGTTCCCATTGTCCCTCCTCGAGAGCTTCTGCACCGGAGACAAATTCCTTGTGTGTCCAGTCACACTTGGCCAATAAAAATATATTCTGTTCTACTCTACTTACCCCACTTGGTTTCCTTTCCTCTTCCTCTGAGGAGTTTTAGACTGGAAGCTCTTCGGGGCAAAGATTTGGCCTCTTGGGTGCATCAATGCCTCTGGGCATAAAGAAACACAGGGCTCATTGGTGACTCCACACCGCCTGCCGCAGCTCTCACACTGCATGCTGGATTTACGTTCCTCCTAATAAAAGATCTGGGAATTGGCTTAAAAACATCCTAACCTCCTAGCTCTTCAAGGGCAGCCCAAATTGGGACACGCTGTAGTAGCCAAAAGGGGGAACCGCTTGGACACAAATGAGCCTCTGACCAGGATCAGGGATGACTGGTTCCCTCAGCACCATTACACAAATGAAGACAAATGTAATGGGTTTCAAGGTTCTCCACAAGGTGGACCCTGTTCTTCTCCTGTGTAAGGCAAGTGTCTTGACCCAAGGATGCTCAACTGAAGTGGCTGCACAACGTTTTAGAAAACAATCCCAAAGCAGATGCAACAGACAGAATTGTTGGTGGGTTCATGAGGAAGGAGCGACTTGGTTCAAAATTTTATTTAGGGTAAATAGAAAACAGCTTTGTGGGCCTGATAAAGAGCGTACATACAGTGTGACATCAAGACAGTGCGTCATTTTGGGCAGTGGCCATCTTCCTTTGGGTGGGCACGGCTTTTTCTGGGGGGGAGCCCCTCTCCCAGAAGCCTGGGGCCACGAAAGGAGCCTCAGCTGCATTCAGATGTTCCAGGGCCGCACAGCGACGCAATCTGTAATAGCTCCCAGGGTTGGTTGACGGGAAGGATCATGGGCAAGTCCTCCGTCCCTCTTGCTTCCAATGGGGACATTTTCACACTCCAACATGGCTGACCAGGTGTCTTCAGAAAGCCGACAGCCGAGCACCAAGGGTGGGATTTTAGTGGACCAGAGCAGAGGGGCTTGGCCTGGAGAAGAACAACTCGGGGAGCTCCTTGCTCAAAGGCCGCCCTTCAACATCCGTTTTCCTTTTTGACCAAAGCACCACAGACTCAACCCATCAGCAATTTAAAGCTCTTTGCCAGCATGGCTGTTTTGCTGGAGGATGCCCGAGGAAACACCGACTGCATCCAGAATGTGACCCATCTGGAAATTCTCTCGCTCCAGCCTTGTGAGGCCGGTTCCCTTGCTTGGCCTCTCTGCCTCTGGACCCCGAGCCTCAAGCCCCACTTTCTGCACGTATCCCTAAAAATGTCTCCTCTGCACAATGCCAGGGGGAGCGTTCTGGGTACGTTTTACGATGGGGGGCAAGTGGACAAAAGCTGAAGACAAATCAGAGCCGTCCAGAAAAGCCTTCTCGGTGGAGAGCCAGACCGGAGCCCAGGCAGATCGCTGCAGGAAGCATCCTTTTCCAAAACTACATGAGATTCTTGCAAAGTGTTTTCTATCCAGTGATCCGTTTCCCATGACCAGGTGGCATGGTCAGGAGCTGCCAGTCATGGGGACCCTCATGAAAGGAGGACATTGATTCCTCCCTGCAGAAGGGGGCCTTGCAGGGCAGAGACAGGGCTTTGCTACTTTGGGCTGGCTGGTGACACGTTTCATGGAGATCAGACCTTCTAGCCATACTGACCATAAAAAGGCTGGAGGACACAGTCCACAAGCAGATTTTGCCCCAACTTCTACGCTTGGCATGAAGATGCCACCCACCCGAAACATCCCAGGCTGAGAGCCTCCTGCACCCAGCCTGAGCATTTTGCCCAGCTGGAAAGATATGGCCTACACCCCACTGAGTGCTTTCCCAAGGACCGGAGCTGAGCGGCTGGTCTCCGGGTGAGTAACGATGCTTAAGAAAGCTTCAAGGTATTCAGGAAGGTTTGAGAAAGCTGCCCCCCTCCCCCAGCAGACAAATTGCAACCCGTTCTGGAAATTTCTGCCACCCAACAGTTTGGTTGAATTGAGACGGCTCAGCCAGAACGTATGAAGGGATTGCCCCGGTTTCAGGCCTGTTGCGGTTTGGAATAAGAAACACAAAGGATAATTTTACCTTAGCTAAGATTTTATCTCACATTAAAGGAAAACTAATGGCAGCAGCTTTGAAACTGCAGCTTCTCTCTCAGATGGGAGTTTTTTTGTCTAAAAGGCTTCCGTTTAGAGGGTGGTCCACTGATCGTCTGTTGGAAAAATACAGTCTGGCTTTATTGTTCAGATGTGAAATATGTAGACATGGTCTTTGCAATTCCCAATACCAGCGTCTGTCTCCCTTAGCAAAACTTGGGGGGGAAAAAGAAAAAAAAAAAAAGACCAATATGCATGTTACTAGTCCTCAGGGGTTCATCCAGTTTGAATTCACAACCCAAGAGCAGCTTTAACGGACACAATGTGGTGCCATCCCAGGTCTAAATCCGCCTCTTGGGCCTGTCCTTGTTCGCAGCAGTGAAATATGGACCAGGTCAGACATTCCACAAAACAAAGTCTCCACAAAAGCAAGAGAGAAAAACGGTTGTGTTTAATGCTGGAAAGTTGTTTGGTGCCCTCTGCTCCAGAGGAAAACGGGTGAACGGGCATCGCTCCGAAAGCAGGATTATTCTAATTCTGGGTGGGGGTACAGGAGGGGCTGCTGCTGCCCACAATGTGCTGAATCGAGTACTTTTAGTGCAAAAGGTCCTCCGTTTGTGAAACCGTCTCGTAACACTGGCAGAGACCCCCCCCCCCCGTCCCCAACTCCAAGGGGGCGGCTTTTCTCCGGGTCAAAGGCTTCCCCAGCCTGCTTTCCCACATGAGACCAAAGTCCTTAACGCAGGCCAGAGAGGATAATAAATAGATCGAAACTTCAGGACATGTTATAATACTGACTTGATCTGCCCGGTGGCGAGAGGCAAGAACTTTTTCTCCTGAGATACAAGAAATAAAGGCCGGGAATGGGGGTGGGGGCACAGGGGTACCCTAACACTGTACCACGGGGTGGGCTTGCCAAGAGGCTGCGGCTGAAGCGTTGGCTCCTCTCACACAGCCCAGATGTTGGCCAGGGCTTAGGCAGAGTCTCTCTGCAGCATGGCCCACCCACCCACCCACCCGCCCATCCCATGCTCGGCTCACTTTCTTCCCAGCGAGACCCCTGCGGGCGTTTAGCCTTCCTCTTCCCGCAGTTCACTCGGGAGGAACTTATACTGCTGCTGGCGGATCTGGGCCAGTTTTTTCCGAGCTTCCTCCAATTCCCGTTCCTTCTTCAACATCTCCTCCTGGGCTGCGATGATCTGGGGAAGCAAGGCAAGGATGGGGCTACTGAAGTCCGAGATATGAAAAAACCTCCCCACACAAGGAGGAGCTGGACCTGGGAAGAGTTCAGGTCACGCAGCACCTGAAACCCCCAAGGGAACCTCTGAAGCTGCCCTGCCCTCTCCCTCTCCCTTCTCCCTCGTCCCAAGCGGAGAAGGGGCGACTTCCGTCTTCCTGAATTAGAAGGAGCTGCTCTCTCCCAGGTCCAGCCAGTCCATCCTTCCTCCCTCGGACTCCACCCATCCTCAACCCCAGAAGAAATGGGGGGGGGGGCACGGTAGAGAAGCGACTGCATGGAGGGAGCAGGCTCACCTGCGCAATGCCCCCCACAAACTTGGTCTTCACCACCACGTCGTCGTCATCTGCCTTGCCAAAGGCCGCCTTCTGGGCCGCCCTGACCAGGTTGTCCGATGCCCGTTTTACGGCATTGCCCGCCACCTGTGGACGGAGAGCAGAGACAGCATGGAATTGCCTTCTACTCAGACCGGGCGTGATCAGAAGATGTGCTGCGTGCACAGCCTGTGAGGGAAGAGCCTGATTCAAGTCTCCCCCCCATCCGCTTGGGGCGCCCTCCCTGCCCATAGGCCTGCTCACCTGCAGCCTCCTCATGGCCTCGGAGTCCTGGTCCGCCTTCACTTTGCAAGCCACCAGCAGCTGAGCCGTGGAAGCGGCCACTTGCTTGGCCGAGGAGATGAGCTTCTCCTCACTGGCGTGGCCTTGGACCGAGGCATTGGCCGCCTCGCAGAGGTTGCTAGTTGCAGCTGCCACCATCCGGGCCTGTCGAGGACACCCGGAGAGGGCCAGGCCCCACCTGAGTATGGAACTGGGCCGGGTATCCTCCAGATCCAGTCAAAGGAGGACAGGTGCTCTCTCTCTCCTGAGGCTTCGTTCAACTCTTCGTGGAGGTTTTTCCCTCCAGATTTCTCGGAGGGGGGGGAACCACCCCCAGCGCCCAAGAGGACCCTCCAAGCTTCAAAAATGAATGAAGAAGAGACTCACCGCGGAAATCAGTCCCTGAGACCACTGACCATCATCGGCGGCGTTGGCAGGAATGGCCCCCACCTGGAAACCCAAATTGAAAAAGCCCCTCAGAACATTTCAAAGTGTGCTTGTTTGGGGAATAAAATGGGAAACTTTTTTGTTTTGCTTTCTAAAGCAGCATTTCTCAAGCTTGGCTACTTGAAGATGGGTGGAAATCAACTATACCAGCGTTCCCCATTCTGGGAACTGGAGTCCACCCGTCTTCCAGTTGCCACGCTTGAGAAGCTTTTCTAAAGAATCCTTTGTCTTCCAGAGGGTATCAAACCGCACACTTGGACACTACCCCCCGCAAGGAGATGGCACCCTCAAAGCCACCCCGTGCTTGGTTTTTTCTCCCTGCTTCTCTGGATTTGCTCTGGGTTTGGGTTCACCGATCAGATGAAGCTGCAAATGCAGGTCTGCCTTTGGGTCAGCCTCATGCCAGCCTGGCCACCCCGGTGATTTTAGACTTAGAGCTGGGAAACATTACGATGTAGAAATATACGTGGCCAGCAGTGGTGACATCTGAACCGGTTTACTACTGGTTCGCTAGCTGCGCATGTGCGATGCGTGCCAAACGTGCACTGCGTGCATGCATGCGCAGTGCGCACCATGCACTAAATGCGAGGTGCATGTGTGTGCGCACAGTGCACGCCAAAAGGAGGCCTGGGGTAAGTAGAACAGTGCACGCTTTGGTCAGCTATGGCGCGCGATCTTTTTTTTTACTTTTAAAAGCATTTTTTTACAACCTATTCGGGTGATAGGTTGTAAAAATTGCTTTTAAAAGTAAAAAAAAAAAGTCTGACAATCGCACAGCTCAGCTGTGATCGTCAGAGCCTTTTTTTTTTAACTTTTAAAAGCAAAAAAGCAAAATCTTCTGCACATGAGCAGAGGGTACAAAACAGATTACTTCCTGGTTAAAACCAGGAAGTAACGACAACCGGGCGGGTGGGTGGAGCCTCGTGTCACGATCACTATTGGTTCTCCGAACCACGATCGCTACCGGATCGGGCAAACCGGGAGCATTTCACCCCTGGTGGCTAGGATTCGTTGGGCAGAAAGGATTCGATAGAAAAGAGGAAATGCTCAGAACGCGGGGCAGACGGACAGAGAAGCCGAACAGGCTCAGGGAGCTTCCCAGTGTCGGCAGTGGGGGTCTCGGCCACCCACCTTGCCTTGGGCGACCAGTTCTCGCTGGGCAGCAGAGGCCGACTTGACCAAGGCGCTGGTGGCGGCGGCGATTGACTTGGCAGCTTCGAGAATCTGTTCTTCAAAGTCGAGGGTCTCGTCCGCCTGCTGCAATCAGAGAAGAAGCCCATCAGGCTGGCCGTGCCTGGCCCTTTCCACAACTGACCGCCTGGCCTCGCCCGGCTACCGTATTTTAAAACCTTCCCTTCAACAAAACCCACCAGATTAGATTTTGTGGCCATGCAGGTCAGCCCCCCATAGGGAGGTCCAGCCTCTTGGAACAGAGCAGCAGAGAAACCAAAGCCAATAGATAAACATTAAATCAAACGCCTGGCTGCATCTCCCTCCCTCCTTCTCTCTCTCTCTCTCCCCCCCCCCCCCTGCAACCTTTATACCAGTCTGGGAGAGAGGAAACAAAACATCAGAAGAATCTGCAAAAATTCCTCTAAAACCTCTGGGTGGAATCTGTTATTGCCTCCTGCCGTGTCCTATGGAAAACAACGCCCCCGGAGACAAAGCGAGACACCGTAGGAATGTTTGATATATAGTTGGGCTAAATTACAACCTAATATATCAAACATATCACACAGAGTCTCGCAGGACAAAAAAGGCACTCGGGGAGGGGTCAAGCGGAGGAGGAGAGGCATGCTCAATGGGGGAGGTTCCTGCTGCCCACCCTCCAGCGGCTGGACCCCACGGGCCCAGGTCCAGGGAGCCTCAGGGAGGAAGGCCTCCATTGCAAGAGAGGTCTCCTGCTGCCCCCAACAGCTTCTCGGCTGAAAGCACACACAAGATTTTCTATCCCACGTTAGGAGCTACAGGCAAGGAGATGATGATTGCTTCCCACCAAGGTTCTCCCTCTCTCAACATATTGGGAAGCCTCCGGACCAATGCAAAGCATCCGTTTCAACCTATCTCAGAAAAGCTCAACTGAAAGAGCTTCACAGTGTGACCAATAATCTCTGGGCAGCTTCTGCGTGGGAGAAAAAGGAAGTGGGTGGTGTGCCACGAGTCACTTATGTGTGGCCTCTTCTGATCTGGCTGGTCTTGGAAAAGCAGTGGCTTTGGGCAGGTGGTGTTGTTCCCACGCGGCTAGGGGAGGCCTGAGATGGCAACCACAAACAAAGTCCTGCTGAAGTTTCCTCACCACAGACCTCCCTTGAGGTGGCAAGGTCTCCCCGCCTCGGCCAAGCCTCTTCTTCTGCCCTTGCAGATAAGTTGGCACAGACCCTGGCCAGACCCCTACTCTTGTTTTTCCGAATCAACTCTTTGGGGGTCCAAGAGACCATGATTTCTCAACCCCATTCAGCTAAGACCACTCTAAGAGCACCCCACGCACCTCCTCAGCCCTTCATCCCTGCCTGCCTGTGGGTCTTCCCCAGAAGAGGGTCTCCAGATTGCAGCCCCCCCCTCCCCTGCTCACCTTGGGCTTGGCTCTGGGTTTCAGCTGCTCCAGCTTTTTGGCAGCTGCTTCAATAGAAGCAGCAGCTCCGAGTAATTCCGTCTCGGCAATCACGGTGGGGTCTTCAGGGTTGACCCATTCGGTACCTGGAGATTGTAGATAACAATACGGGTTATTATAGTCTGTTAAACAACTAAACTAACAACCATTTGATTTCCTCAGCTGGGAGACAGATGCAGCTTGTGTAGTCCTCACATCTTCTCATATATGGTCTTGTTTATTTCATCTGTTGTGTTACTGGTACCTCTGGACTTCTGTTTGCTGTAATGTCTGCTCATTGACCATTTATAAGCAAAACATTTCACCTTGAAGAGATGCCGCACCAGGTCACAACAAGGTACCAGAGAAGGTTGTTGTACAAAAGCAATGGAAGGAGACACCCTCAACTCAAACTCAACACCTGCATGCCACCAACTCCAACGGGGCTTCTTGGGCTTCCTAACCTAGGTGCAACGTATGTGGGAGTTACCAGGGCAACGAGGCCAGCCAAGGATAAAAGGCAGCTTAGCCCACAGCAGGAATGTGGGTGGGCAAAAACCCTTCCCGGTTTTCTGGGCTGTAAAGGAGAAGGGGGAAGAACTGTCCTGCCGGAGTTGAAAGATTCTGTTAATGGAACCTTACACCGAAGTAGCATTAGCTCATCTGGTTGGGTTTCCTGTCTAGTCTACTTATTAAGGCTGACACAAACCCGAACCCGCAGCCCTGGGATTTTCTGCTGGTCTCCTTCCCAAGGTCGAAGAGGGTTTATGCTGTTCAGCTTCTAAATCTAGATAAATTTAGGCAGTTTCTAGACCTACATGAGGAGGAGGAGATGATTCTTTTTCTCAATTTAGCTCGGCCAGGACAGATCCAACACGGCTGACTTCTATACAAGGCCCTCGTTTGGGGTTTTCCCCACGTGGGTCCCCTGCTAAGAGAGGGATGAAGGCCAGGAGCCTTTTGGTAGCAGCCCCTGCCCAGACAAGGACCTCCCTCCCCTCCCCTTCCTTTCATCTCCACAGGAGGCCAACGTGGCTCCAACTCTACTGAATTTTGAACTGTATCAACTGATTTGATTACACTGTGGATAACTCAACATGTGTTTAATTCTGGCCTCTACTTTCATGCTGTTTTTAAAATCTGAAGATTGAGTTGGGCGCCCCAGTGGGACAGTCCTGGAACTCCTGAAGCAGAGCCCCTTCCTCAACTACGCAGCAATTTCTTGCATTGCTCTCCATCTCCCCGACTCCAGTGCAATTTCCGCAGGAGAGAAAACCTACCTTTCATGGCTTCGGCAGATTGTATGAGCTCCGTCACAGCCCCTGCGACCCCTTTGGACAAGGCAGCCAGCAGGTGCTTCAGCTCGGCACTGGGCTTCTGGAGGATCTGTGCGCATTGAACGGGAGGGAGGAGGAGGTTTCACAAAAGGGGGTTTCTGTAGCATCTCCCCCTTTTTTTCCTCTAAAACCTCCCGGCCTGGCCAAAACCAGGCAAGACGTAGCCGGCACGAAACACCCCCTGATGCCAACACAGAGCAGGAAGGGAGAGGGGGGAGGCGCTCTCTTTACCATCAGGACATGTTCCAAGAGCTGCAGGTAAGCCAAGGTGCACTCTGTCCCATAATGCAGTGCCCTCATCCGCACGTCTTCGCTGACATCGGGGTGGTAGGAGGCTTGCTGTGGGGCAGAACACGGAGCCCTTCAGAGGGAGCCAAAGCTCCTGGAAGAGGTGGGGAAGCCACTAAAAAGGGTGCCCGCCCAGGTTGGGTCTTTGCACAGCCTCTGGTGTAGAAAAGGCTCAGACGCCACCTTCCTCCTGCCTCGCCCCTCCTGCTCAACTGACTGGGGATGGGGGGGCTTTCCCAATCCTGCATGCCCCCCAAGAAATGAGCATTCCCCTTTCAGCCTCGCTGAGGCATTTCCACTCCCAGCTGCCCAAGAGCTGCACTTGATGTAAGCAGCCTTGAGAACCGAATCTGAAATGCGTTGGGCTTCTGAGACACCAAAGGGGCTGAGAAGATTCACCACATGCTCAGGTTGCCGATCAAGATCCCTTCCGCCCAGGGGGAGATCTCAGCCCCTCAGGCGACAGAGATGCTCTGTGCATGTGGGCTGCAGGAGGAGACACCCCCTCCCCTGATTCCCCTCTCCCCACCCCTGGGAGGACAAAGTTTGACCAGAAGCAGCTTGTGAGTTTTGACCTGGGATCTGAGCTCGCTCTCCGTCTCTTGGCCAGGATGGGATACAGCAGTTCCCAGGGCTGGGGCTGCTTCCAAAGGGGGGGGGGGTCTTTTACTCCCCATTCCCTTCCTCAAACAAAATTCTGAACCAGGCTCTGCACTCCAAACAAGAGATTCCGTCTCTATTCATCTCACACTTACACTCAAGCACAAACACACAGATACACACTTACTTACTTACATACCCACACAGCCTCTGAATCACTGTGCAGCCCTCTTGGCTCCCCAAAATAACCTTTATTTAGTTCTCAAATAAACGTCCCTCCCGCCGTTTCTTTGCTGCCTTTGCTTAAACTCAAGAAGATGAGTCCAGTGAGGTATGGAGCAGCCCCCACTTCTGCCTTGTGCCCTGAACTGGGGGTTGGAGGGAGGCTGCAACCCGGACTCCTCTCCCCACCCACAGCCCCAAAGAGGCTGTCTCTGGGAACTGATCCAGCCCCTTTGGAAAGCTGCCCATGTTCCTTTCAAAACAAAATCACTTGGGGAAGAAGACAAACCGATCTTCAACGCAACACACAGACCCACGAACACTTTTCAAATGCAAATCTGCCCTTTCAGGAACTAATTTCTGAGCCCGGGAGCCCTGAAGGGACCGGGAGTTTACCTTGCAGGCAGCCAGCATGTCGGCCACGGCTTTGCGGCTGAGGTTGGCCGTGGCGATCACATCCTCTTGCCGGCAGGAGTTCCCGGCTGCCACGGCTTTGGCCGTTGCCATGGTGATGCCTTTCGTCATCCGGATGGATTCTTCTGGAGAGCAGGTCTTCTCGGGAACGTCCTTGGACTGGAACACCTGGAGACATGAAGGAGGGGGGAAGAAAGGTCAGGGGCGTTGCAGGAAGCAGTGGGGGAGGGGGGGAGGCTCAATGCAAACGGGGCCAAGAGAAGTCCCGGTGTGAGGCCAGGACTACAGTGTCCATCTCCATTGAAGAAAAGCCAGCCCAGAGCTGCCAGGGGAGAACTGAGACCCTTCCTCTAAAAGGGCAGCAACTCTGGGGCTCCCCCAAAGCTCTGAGCAAGAAACCACGGGAATGGCAGGATTGTGGCCTGTCCCAACCTTGAAGGGAAGGTCAGAAACCGATGTTCAGCTGAAAAGCAGAGCCCTCCCCATCACCATAAATCTCAGTTTTGCCAGGTTGCGTGGGAATGGGCTTGGCGGCGGGACTACCGTGAGCTCCTGCTTGATGTACTCTATGGTGGCCTCCAGCGCCCTGGTTCCACGCGTGGCCTCGTCCTCCACCGCCTTCACCGTCTTCAGGAGGGAGGTGACGTTGGTCACCATCACCTGCAAGGGAGGAAGAAGGAAAGGAGGCGTTGCAGCAGCTCTCCCTGGAGGGCCAAGGAAGCCCCCTGCAAGGCAAGGCAGGGCCGGTCCTTCCCGGGTGCAGAGTTTCAACAGCAGCATTTGGGCAACGGTGTGGGGAATCCAGCCCCACTGCGGAGGAAGGGTGGATGGATGGATGGCCGATGGAGAAAAGGGGCAAATGGGAAATCTCACTTGGAGCCTCAACAGCAGGCATTGCTTGAGCAAACTTCTCTCTTTGGGAGGCTGCAAGAGGAGACCCCGGCTGGTCGAGGGTGGGAGAAATGAGCAGCCGGGTAGCATCACCCACTATATTAAAAGGCATCAGTTTCACGAAAGCCTTTGGGTAAAACTTATCACGTGCCTTACGTCCTCACGAGCTGAAGAGCGAACAAACGAACCCTGAACAGAACTAGGCACTTCCCTCAGACGGAGAGTAATCGGCAAACCTCAAAGTTGTTTGCAAGGGAAGCCAAAAGCCCAACTCTGCCCCAGGAGGAAAGGCAGCTCCAGTGCTGAGAAGGGCCACCGCATGCGCCTTAAACGGTTGGGGGCCATTATTTGCCAGTTCTGGGAATTTGGGTAAAAGCAGGAGCAGGAGGCAGCCGTGGAGGCTCCTGTGGGCAAGGAAAGCCAATTCTCTCCCATACCTTGGCAGCCCCCTTGAGCTGGTACATGGACGGGTCGTCTGCTGGCTTGCTGGCGGCTCCTTTGGTGGCACCGATGAGGTCAGACAAGGCCTTCGCCACATCCTTGATGGCATTGATTAGCACAACCTGTCAAAAGCAGGGCCTGTTAGTGGCTCTACAGGCTCCCCATTGGCCAAGTCTCCTGGCCTTTAGTGGGAAGGTATTTCAGCTTGTAAAGTCAACTAGCACTGGAGAGCAGGTAGAGATCATGGCAACAGCCAGAGACGGGCAGCTCTATAAATTTGATCAATATTTGTTTAATTGTTTTGTTTATCGAATTTATATCGCCACCTATTCGCACATGGCAACTCAAGGCAGCTTACAGAATATAAAAACCTCATTTAAAACAATAAAATGAATAAAAAAGAATCAAATAAATTAATATAATAAAATATAATATATAAAATATATAAACAGTAGAACAAATACCACTGACCCACAGCTAGTTACAGGCTCCTAGACCTCTTGGCCCAGTCTCTGGACTCTACTCTGGCACAGAGGACTTCTCTCTGTCCACTCAGCTTCGCTTCAGAAGCCCAATTGAAGGCAAGAGGTTCTGGGCGATTTGGGGGTGACCCAGCCCCCCCCCCACAATCCAATCCAAGCCTATCCCATGACGCCCCTCCATACACACCTGCGTTTCAGGGTCATCTGAGCCCAGGCTGGCTGCTCCCAGCTTCACCACCTCTGCCAGTTGCGTGATGGTGCTGGCCGAAGACTGGGCTGCTTGGGCCAACTTCTCCTGGCTAGAGGCGGCTCCGGAGACCAGCAGCTTGGTGTCTTCAACCAAAGTCTTTGCAGTCTTTAGAATATTTTCCCTGGGAAAAGGAACAAGGCGGAAGGAAGCGGGGTAAGCAGGAGCAGGCACAAATCAGGCAGCTCCTTCCCTTCCTTGGCATAAACAGGTGCAAAGAAATGAGAGCTGTTTATGCCGTTTTTATTAGTGCACTTCTGACTGATTGCCTCTCGCATTTGAATCCTGCTTTTGCATTCTACCTCCTTTTAGCTTTAATCACATTGGGTAGCTGATATGAACTTTAAAAATAAACCAATTATTCTGATTTATGCTCAGCCACAATTATGACGCCAGTATTTCCAAAAACTGTCACCGTAATTAACTTTGAAATTAGTTCTAAAGAGTGGACGCAGGTCCACATCTTATTTCTTAGCTCCGGGAGTTGATCTGAACAGGGTGTTGGGTTTGGGGATAGTTTGTCTTTCTTAAGATTTATCTTTACAGCAAAGAACTTATCTTTACCAAGTTGTCTGCTGTTTGAAGGTGAAGGGGGAAAAAAATCTCATTTAGGCCAAAGGAAATTAAAATTATTTCTGAGTTTACTGATTCAAGACACAAATTCTCTGTAGTCCAAAGGTATCCTATCTGAAATACAACAATACAGTTAATTAGAATTTGGGGTTTCGAATAACACCACATAAATGCTACTAATAGTAATGGGGGCACAGTGGTTAAAATGCAGTACTGCAGGCTACTTCTGCTGACTGCCAGCAGTTTGACAGTTTGATCCTGACCGGCTCAAAGTTAACTCATCCTTCCATCCTTCCAAAGTAGGTAAAATGAGAACCCAGATTGTTGGGGGCAATATGCCGACTCTGTAAACAGCTTAGAGAGGGCTGGAAAGCACTGTGAAGCGGTATATAAGTGCTATTGCTACCTTCCTTCTTTCCTTCTTTCCTTCCTCCCTCCCTCCCAGTGGTTAGAATGCAGCATTACAGGCTAACTCTGCCCGCAGTCCAGAGTTTGATCCTGACTGGCTCAAGGTTGACTCAGCCTTCCATCCTTCCGAGGTCATTAAAATGAGGACCCAAATTGTTGGGGGCAAATATGCTGACTCTGTAAACTGCTTAGAGAGGGCTGTAAAGCATTGTAAAATGGTACACGTCTAAGTGCTATTGCTATTACTATCAAACCAACAACTGAGTGCACTTTCTTCATGAACCTCTACATTGTCACTTCTTTCCAAACCCCCAAACAATTTCAGAGTAAACTTACTCCCAACCACCCCCTCCCTCACTATGTAACCAGCTTCACCTGTGGTCGGCGAAGGATTCGTTGTTTTCAGCATTCAGTGTCCCGGCCGCAGCAAACAAGATGGTGGTGTCCAGGTCAGCGATGATGCCGGAGACGGCGCTGGCAGCGGTGATGCACGCCTGGGTGCCCTTGTTCCCTGCCTGGAGAGCCGACAACACCAGGGACACCTGTCCAAGAGAAGAGACCAAGGCGGATGCAGGGATAGCCCATCGAAGGAAGGATGGCAAGGGAGGGGGAGGGGGTCCCACCGTGGCAAGCACCCACCTTTTCGCTGACCGTCCGGGTGCATTCGATCAACTCCCGCTTAGTGTAGGCATCGGTTGGACATATCTGCAGGGCGCCGGCTTTTTGGACCAGGAAGATGCAGCTGTGTCCAAGTTCTTGAACCCGGGTTCTGATCTGGAACCCTATCTGTGGAGCCGAAAGATGGCAGAAGAAAGAACAGCCAATGAAAAAGCTCCTCTGTGGGTGTCCTCCCAAGCAGAGAGGGAGGAAAGGCGGCCAAAGGGCTGCAGGAAAAGCTAATCAGGGCTTAGGATGGGCTTCCAGCTGGTGAACAGGAAGAGGCGTCTTCAGACAAGCTTAAGAAATCCTAAAAAACACCCCTCTCCTCTCTTTTAATATAGAACCAATGTTATATTACTGTCTGTTATATTGTCTGCGGCTGTTGTAGAATAAAAAGCAAATTAAAGCCAGGACTAACAGTCTCCCTGAACAACGGAGAGGAAATAGATCAGAAGAAGGAAAAGCCTCATTAAAGGAAAATCTTCTGCAATGGATGAAAGGGAAAATTCCAAAGGCTTCTGATCTTGGGGTTTGCTTGCTCAGTTTTCTCTTCCCCCCAAATTAGAAGGAAGGCTTTTACTCTGAAAGGGGGATTTTATTCTCTGCGTTCTGAAGGGTTTCCCAATCTAGAGGGGGATGCAGGACTTTGAACCTCTGTAGCCGCTCCTAGATCTATGGTGGGCGTCTTGTTTCCCACAACCCCACGGGGCGGTGGGGAAGGGGGCTCAAGTACTTAAGAGGTGACAAGGATGGCAGACCTCCTCCGGTTCCGCAGTCCCCGCTGCCATCCGGCCCTGGGAAGCCAGGTGTCCATAGTCAGTGGTCATTTGCGAGGCGAGTCCTCCCAGTTCCTCTGGATTAGTGACTGCCTTGGTCATCTGAAAGGATGGAAACAAGGATGAGCATCTTAGTTTGCCACGTTGCCTTGCAACACCGACTGGAAGACCTGATGGGGGCTTTTGAAGACCCTGCCCCCAATTTCGCTCTCTCCCCTATCTTTCTCCTAGTCTCCTCCAGTACTTTGACCTATTTTATGGAGGGATTCTCTCACAGTTTGAAGGTCGGTTCTGGCTGGTTCCGAACTGTCCCTCCAGCTTTCTATTTTGTCCCTTGCAAAAGGCCCCGTTTCTGGGCATTTGCCCAACGGCCCGATCTGCCTTAAATTAAAAGCGAAGCCATGAAGCAGTGCACATGCTTCTCTTACCATCTCCTGGGCTGTGACTGCGATGGCCCTGCAGTATTTGACAACGGTGGTCTGGTAGTCGACAAAGGACCCTTTGGGATCGGACGGAGTCCCTTCGTCTAGCTGTGTGGCGGAGAGTGTGGAAAAGAGAGGGAAGATTCTCAGCAAGGGAGAGAAGAAGACCTCAACCTGGGACCCTCCAGAGCTGCTGGACTACACATCCCATAATTCATAATTAGCCCAGCCACCAGCTTCAGGCTATGGGAGCTGAAGTCCAACACTGCTGCACATCACCTAGAATATCTGACTGAGAACGACCAAGATGCAAGAAAAGGTTGAAGCAACCCCATTTTTGGGGGGTAGAACCCCAGTTGGAAGGCCAGTAGACTAATTTCCACTTGCCTGGGAGAAGGTCGGCAGGGCCTGGCGAGGAAGCATTTCCCCCAAATCCCCTTCCCCTATTTCAGCCACTACCATAATAACAGGAAAATTGCTGAGAACACTTAAGAAATGAGTGAAGTAGTTGGATAGTTAGTTGTCAGCCTAGTCTGAGCCTCCTTGGATGCCCTGAGAAAGCTGCGTGGGCCCCCCAGGAGAAGGAGCAATGGCTCCAGAAGGTTCTTCACCCACCTTACTCATAGCTTCAGCGATGGAATCCACCATGTTCCCCACCATGCCTACTTCACTGGCAGCCTCATTCAAGGTCACCATGATGTCGTCCACGGCTTCCTTCATGAGCTGTGCTGCTTCCAGGATGGCATCATGCGTGTGGGATGCCTGGGAGAAAGATCAGAGACCCATCAGCCTTTCCTTCCTTTGCAATGCAGCCACGTCCTCTGGTGGGACAGATGTGGGACACAGACGGATCTCCAGGTTCCTCTAGAAACAGAGCATGGAAGCTGCAAGGAAGAAGAGGACTCCTTCTGGAGCAAGAGGTTTCTAAGAAGGGCTGCAGAACGGATCCGACGGAAAGGACGTCTCTCCAAAAGGCTTTTTCCCAGGTTACTGCAACTCCCACTCAGAAGGAGGGCAGGTACATGTTGAATTAAAAGCTTTCTGGTGTATCAAAGAGGAAATACAGCAGCTGTCCAGAGCAGCCCCAGTATTTACTCACAGGATCTTAGGAGCAGAAGGGACCACCGAGATCATCCAATCTAAACCTCTGCACAATGCAGGGATCCGAATTCGGGGGATCCTAGCAGCAAAGGGAGGCCATCCCCTCTCTGGGTCACTGCTTCCACAGTCAAACTCTTTGTGATGTTTGGAATTCCCCCCCCTGAACATTCAAGTCAAAAGCAGTTCTTGAAAATGTTTTCAATCCCCCATTTCCCAATATCCGACTTCTCAAAAGTTTATTCTGAGCATTCTTTTTTTTTTTTAAAAAAAAAGGCAATTAGAAGATTTTCTGCCTGAGCGCCTTGCGGAAGACCCTAATCAGACGGAGTTGATTACCGAAGGCTGTGTTTTTAATTAAAGGCCCTTGCTGGAGAGGCAGCAAAGGAATTCTCCAGAGCGCTCATCACGTACCGGCGTCTGAAACGTGATTGCTCCCAAGGAGCGTATTTTTAGACTTGTAACATGCAAATCATGTTTTCTTGCTGAAATTTCCCTTCTGACAAATGAGACATGTTTCAGGAAATAAGCTGGCTCTGCCTGACTGCCCTCCACATATGCCAAATTAAACCTCTCGTTATCCTGAGTTAGCCCAGCCTGGCTGGGAATTTGGGGAGTGGGAGATCCTGCATCATAAGGTTGGCAAGGCTGAAAAACATGGCATGAGACGATGATGGGCTTTCCGTTGCACATATCCAAGTGCAAGTGAAGAGTCAGTTGAGGATACTGTGCAAAGGAAGAACACAGATAGTTCCCAACTTACGACCATTACAAGCATGATGGGCAGGTTCCATTACAGTCATAACTTGAGGACTACTTGTAAAAAAACCCACCTGAAGCTGAAGTGTTTCTTTCTGTTTTAAAAACTTCCTGCAAATACAACAGCTGCTCGGAACTGATCTCCTTAATCTGTCCATTTATTTTTAAAATGTCTGCAGTGCTTCTTCTTCTTCTTCTTCTTAGGAGCCACGTTCCAAAGCCCAGCTCCCCCTCTGGGAATCTCTTCCACCAAGCAGGATTCCTGTTTCATTAGGAATCTGCCCCGGCCGAAGAGGCCACCTCAGGTCACTTCACTCTTCCCTGAGGGATCTGCCCCCCTCAGGTATCCGCCCCATCTCCCATCTGCCCCACTGACAGATCTACCTTTGGATTCCCCCCTCCTTCCTTGGCCGCGTAGAGCATCTGGAGGGCCGATTCCGCCAAGGTCTTGGTCTGATCCAGCAGGTTCATTTGCTGCTGGTGATTCATCAACTTGGAGACGACACCAATGGCCGCCAGAACCAAGGGTTCAAAGTAGCTGGAGAGCTGCGTCACCTGAGGAGGTCAGGAAACCAAGCAGTCAGACACGCTAGGGTGCCCTTTCTAAGACGGGTGCAAGGACTCCACCCCACCCACCCCCTCTCACAAACCAGCTGTGCTGTGTGCTCTTCAACCTTGATGACTTGAAGCACGCTGGCTGGGGAATCTTGGGAGTTGATGTCCACACATCTCAAACTTGCCAAGATTGAGAAACTCTGCCGTTTCTACAGTTCAGAAGACCCTGAGAACAGACCCCGGCCACCCCTTGAGCCCCTACCTTGTGTCCAAGCTGAGCAGCCTCCCCTCGGGCTGCCGTTGCAATGGGATCGATGAGATGGCCAATTTCCTGGACAACGGAGGTCAGCTGCTCTTGCAAGGCCTGAGAGACAGACAACAATGGCTATCCTCTTCCCATCATAAACAATTAGAAAGCTGGTAAAAACAGCCCCGTTGGTGAAGATTTTGGCTTCCCAGCTACTCCTTGGGCAGCTCACCAAAAGGTGAACTCAATAGCCGAGTCCTGAAGGAACTTCCTTCCTCCATTTACAAACCACCATTGTTTCTGTCTCTCACCTGGGCCAGGTCTGCTCATCTGTAGTGAGCAGTGAACCCTGGGAAATTCTTCTAGGCTGTTTACACCAGGGATTCCCAACCCCTGGGCTGTGCACTGGTACCTGTTAGGAACCGGGCTGCACAGCTGGAGGAGAATGGTGGGCCAGCAAAACGGTGCATGCACAGGATCCTCTTTCCCCCCCTCCCCAATCCATGGAAAAATTGCCTTCCATGAAACCGGCCCCTGGTACTGAAAAGGTTGGGGACCACCGGTTTATACCACAGCACTGCCTCCTCCGTTCAGTCGGTGGCTCTTCCAATTTGCATTTGAAGGGGAAATACACCCACATCTGGTGGATAATTGGTTTTCGTTCATTTCCGTTTCGTTCGGTAAGGGAGGTGTCCTTTACCTCCACAGAAATGTCATCCCTGGTGGCCAAGTTCTGACTAACGGCAGCGAGGGAGGCTTGTTCGATATCTCTGATGCACTTGTTGATGCCATCGATGGCGTGGTCACACTCCCGCTGGCCTGGAGCTTTGTCCCTGCAGAAAACAACGGAATCGCTGAACTGGGCCTGCAGGGAAGACGTCTGGCATGGGGACTGTCGTCTTCAGGATTTCGCACTCTTGATTCCTCTCCTACCACCTTGCTTGGCTTTCTGCTTTGCCCACCCACTGGGCCCCCAGGTCCCTTCGGACGCTTAGAGCATCAGGGGTCGACACAGAATCAACCATGCAGGAGAGGAAGGGAGGGAGGGAGCTCCACCTGATGGAAGTGATAAGGCTCTTGATGGACTCGGAGACAGTGTGCGAATGTCCAGCCAGGACAGACCAGGTGCTGGGGTCCTTGGGGTTGATGGCCAGGGAGCGAGCGGTTTTGATCAGGAAAGACGAGCTCTCCAGCATGGTCCGAGCTGAAGCCAGGATGGGCTCCTGTGCGCGAGAACCCTGGAAAGAGGCGATCTGATGAGCCAGCTACTTCCAGGGGGTTTAGGCCTCCTCCTCCTCCTCCAACAACGTTGCATTAATGGGTGGTGCCCCCATGTCGGTGGGGCTCTTACCTCAGCACTGATCTGAGCAGGAATGCTGGCAAACTCGGGATTGGAGGCGAAGGCGGTCAGGTTTTCCACGGCTTCAATAAGCGGAGCAGCGGCGGTCCGGCACTTGCCACGATTGTCTTCTGAAAAGTCTCCGTCCAAAGCCTGATGAGGAGAAGCCAATGCGGTTTAGAGCTCAATTTAAAGAAGAAAGAGCAAAAAAGCAGGGGACGTTTGCTCAACTGTGAACACAAAACATTCAAGGGGGTCGCTAAACCTCCTCCTTCAACGGGTCAGAGGTATTTTGGGGAAGGTATTGGATAAAAGTTGGGTTCAAATTCTCTCCTTAGTTTTGAAGTCCACCAGACTCATTCTCCGATCTTTTTCTGCTGGGACATTATCTTTTCCAGGCTCCTTCAAAGAAGCCCAGAGCTCCCATTGCAAACCGCAGGCAGCTTCACACCCCACAGGGGACGCTGAACCATGATTGGGTGAATATCTCAGATTTGACTGGGTTCTCAGTCCACAGGCAAAAACAAATAAAGCCCACTGCTCAAGGCAGACCCCCCCCCCACCTCCACCCCAGCTTCCTCCTTTAAATACATCATGGTGATCCCAGACTTAAACTTTTGGATGGTGACCAGCTCATGATCCAGATCCCTGTAGCAGTGCTTCTCAGACTTGGCCATTTGAAGATGGGTGGACTCCAACTCCCAGAATTCCCCAGCCAGCATGGTTGAGAAATGCTCCCCTATAGGATTCAGAAGCCAATATCTCTATTCCTACTTTCCTAGACCAACACTCCGAAAATGAGACCTGAGTTCTGAGCAAGCCCGGAAGAGGGGAAAAATGAGTCACCAGCTTTTGCTTGAAAAGGAAGTGGAAAAACCAGCCGTTAGGACCATTCCTTCCCCAGTCCTCATTAAGGAGATCAAACTTCCCCAGGCAGAAAAATAGAAACCTATTAGAATTAAAGTCATTAAGTGAAATCAATGGCCCACCTTAAAAATTACAGACTCGTTAATCTAATTGCCAGCATAATTTTGGCAGATTAGAAACAAAATCCATCTGCATCTAGCATTTAAATTTTAAAGGAAATGCTCACCAGCATTTACAGAGATTTCTCAATGGGCAGATCTGGCTCCCTTGAGTTTCTTTTTCCTTGAAAACCACACTTCTTTCTGGTTTCCATCTTTTTGGTCAAGTAGAAGCAGCGAAGGGATACGCTCCATATGTTCCTTTTCAGAGGGCTGCAAAACCTTATTTGCTTTCTCTAGTTTTTTACTGAAACATTATCTGCATTTTCTTTCCTGTTTGCTAAATGTTTAGATTTGGCTTCTTTGAGATTTCTGTTTTTATCACAACTGGCTTATTTTAAATCGTTGTTGAAGACCATTTGGGGATTTTAGGATGTTTCAATCTTACTCCAAACCTCATTCATAAAGTGGTTGGCACTAAATAATAACAAATCGACTGCAGAATAATGGAATAAGGCACCAATAAGGTGCCTGAAAGAAATCTTAGGATAAAGGCAGAAAATTAAAAAATCCCCCAATGGGAGCAGTTTCCCCTCTGCCTCTTTCCACACTGCCCACTTTTCACGCCTGGTTCCTGGCTTTCCAGCTTCTCTTTCCTGTAACAGGAGAACCGGAAGCCTCTGGAGACGATGGCCAGGAAATGTCCACTTCACGGCCCTGGGCTTCCTGAGGGACTCGGAGAGACTGCTCCCTGCCGGCCCTCCGCTGCCGCCCCCCTCCTCCCTTGCAGATTTCTCTGGCTTCTTTCAAAGCCCCCATTTCATCTCTGTTGGAGGGCTCAAAGATGTCGCGGCTCTCCCACCTTGATAGTCTTCACCAGGTTGGCTGTGCTGTTGGCCACCTCCTTGGCTGATTGGACGAAGTGCCTCTTGGCCACGGGGTTGGCCGTTTTGGATGAAGCGATGCGGCAGGCGTTGCACAGGGCAGATGTGTGCTTGGCCACGATGGTGGCCGCCGACAAGACCTGAAACAGGCAGAGAGGGGGGGGGGGGACTCAGGGCTTTGCACACCCGGAATCCAGGGAGTGGATCCTTCTTCAAGGATCTGGGGGCAGGAATGGTCTATCTGAGCCCAGGCAGGGTAGCTGTCAGTCAGAGGAAACAGAAGCAGAGATGGAGGCCATCGCCCGGGGAAAGATCAAATCTGTCCTCCCACAGGCACTCCGTGGTCACGGGGCATTCCCTCTGCTGGTCGCAAGGAGCAAGCAGGTGGAAAGCGATGCCAAAGGGCAGAGGTGGCCCAGGAGAGACCCATGTCTTGGCCAAGGTCCCAGGCTCAGTAGAAGCTTCCTCTGATCGAAAAGGCCTTTCCCAGAGGCAACCTTCTGCTGGACAAGGGCCTCCTTTTCTTTTTTAAACCATCTTGGGAGTATTAACAGTCTTGTGTGTGTGTGTGTGTGTGTGTGTGTGTGTGTGTGTGTGTGTGTGTTGCTGACCAACTGCTGTTCTACCGGTCCCAAAGGGAGCATTACCTGGGACGGACTGCTGGCTGGATCCACCAGGTTCTGGCACGCCATCTGGATGGCCTGGTTGGCGCGGGCAAACTGGATGGGATCCACGAGGCCCTGTTGACCAGCCTGGCTGTTGGGGTCCGAGATGCCCACCAGGTAGGCGGCCTAGGCGACAAACAAGAGGGGGGGGGCTTCAGCAAATGGAAGCGAAGAGGAAACTCCCTGGCATTTCAACACATTTCAGAGGCAAAGCAGAAGTCCAGGGGCCCCCAAAGGCCGGGGAAATGCGAAGCGTGACTTCGGCCAGCCCATTTGCAGAGCTGCCCTCGGGCCGGATCCCACATGTTTCAGGACTGTTTGGGAGGGGGCTTTCAAGGTCCCCACCTCAACCATCTTCAAGCAAGGTTGGCATTTGCTGCCCAACTGTGAACCTGGCAACTTGAACTGACCATAGTTACTTGGGAAGGCACAGAGTGACCAGGCTAAAATAAAATCCGCAGGCTCCCCAAATGCCACCCCTGCCCCAATAACCCACTGGACCCAAATCCCTGCAAAGTGCCCACAAAAGGCTGGAAGGAAATCAGGAGGTCCCAGCGTGGATTCAACACCAACCCAAACCCACCTGAGCCGCTGCTTCGGTGAGACCGCAGAGAGCCTTGGAAGCCACCCCCACACACTCCCCGAAGACAGGCAGGTCACCGGTCTTGGCGTTCTGGGAGATGCCGGCCATCGCTTCCCCGAGCACCTTCGGAAAGAGCCCGTGTGAGAAGGCCATCCTCGGGACTCTGTCTGGAGAAGACCTCCCGGCCCTTCCTTGGAGAAGAGGCACCATCTCCCCGTCCAGCCTTTCCCCATTTCTGGAAAGAGCTACATCTGGGGCCTCCCTCCAGTTTCCCTCCTCTCCCCCACCCCACCCCTCAATTGCACTATGTCCACCCGGATGGATTTCCCAGGGAGAGAGTTGGGAAGGGCTACCTTGGAGTTCTCCATGACGCCTTCAATGCAGTCGAAGTAAGACTGGTCGCTTACGGGCTCGCTGGGATTTTCCAGCATCTCCTTCACGGTCTGAAAGGAGAGCAGCCCAACCCAAGTAAATGCAAGGACTTCCAGCTGACCCCGGTCAGTCTTCCTGGATGATGGCCGGGCCCATAGACCCCTCCCCCTAATTCTGGCACCCCGGCTGCTGAGGCTGGATGGACAGGAACCCACCAGTCATCCAATCGCTCAGAGGGGCTTCACTGCAAACTAGAAGGAAGCAACCTTCGCAAGACAACGCTCTTTCTGGGGGAAGCCCAGGAGCCACAGCCACACAGTTCACACTCTCCAACCCCACAAAATTGCCTGGAAAGGTAACGTGATGAGTCAAGGACAGACCTCCAGTTCCCGGAGAGCGTTGTCGCACTCCTTCTGGCCAGGCGCTTGCTGGGTACACAAGGTGATCAGCTGGTTGATGCTCTCCGTGACCGCCCTGGGGACAAAGCAGGAGGAGAAACTGAAGACCCCCGAGAGCAGCCCTCCAGCTCACCCACTCATCCTCTGCCCTGCTGCTCCAGCACCCAACCCAGGCCCACCGCAGCCCTCACCTGGCAGCCGCCGCTAAGAGGTTCTTGGCGTTGGGAGCGCCGGGGTCCACCGACAGAGACTTGGCTGCCAGAAGCAGCTTGCTGGAAGCCATGGAGATGTTCTTGAGGTTCCCGATGACCTGAATTTGGTCCTCTTTGGTCTGTGAAGCAGAGAAAGCACCGTAGGGGCTGACTGCTTGGGCGGAGAGCTGAGTCCCCCAACTCTATTCCTGGCGCCAGCAGCATCGGGGGGAGTCCCACTTGGGTAGGGCGGTGCAGACGGAGACCCAGATCACCACTGCCTGCAAGGACCCCCAGCTGAGCAGACAATGCTTTGACAATCGGGCCTTGACCGGGAAATCCAGCCCGGAGGGCAGAGCCTCCCAGCCTCTGTGCAGCCCCGTCTCTGCCTGGCACAGAGAATCACCAGGCACAGCTGGTCCAGTGGCTGCCCTGCCCAGCAAATCCATTGGGCACAAAAGACGGGCCAATTAGTCTGCAGGCTGCAGGGATGATCCTTGGCAGGAGGCTGAGAGAGCAAACCCAGACGGTGGGCTTCCAGCGGTTATGCTGAAGGGGGCGAGGGCGGAGTGGGGAGATGCAGGGACCCCCCTAGAGCCCTGGGATCTGGCACGTCACCCTGGGCCCTAAGCAGGAAGGAGTTTAGTGGTTAAACATGACTAGACAGCTAAGCAGCATCTAGGAAATCCCACAATGGTAGATTAGACTCAAACGTCCCAGAGAAAGGATAAACCATAATATGCCTTAGAAAGTTGCATGGATGCATAGAGCTTGGCTGGAAGGACAATTCTATTCTTCTCAGGTTCCCAGAATGCACCTTTCCAGCTTCAGCTTTAACAGGACAAGCCAAGAGAAGCAACTCTGCTGCCCTTGGCCATTCTGCCCGGGAGGGGGAGGGGAGGAAAGGCACCTACCTGAGCTTGGCCGGCCATTTCAATCCCTGCGTCGAGAAACTCATCAAAGTCCTCGCTGAACTTCCCTGAGGCAGCCGCCAGCTCCCCGCTCTGGCCCCGCGTGGAGTGCACCACCTCCCCAGCTGCCTGGTTCAGGTCGGCCGCTGCTTGGTTGAGCTCGCTCTGCGCTTCCTGGAATGACTTGGAGCTGGGGGGCAGCTGCAAGGGGAGGGTGGGATTAGGAAGCCGTGGCTGTGCCTTGGCACGTCACCAAGCACCCGGGTCTTGCCCTGCATGCTCGCCTTCAACAAGGCCACAGACGGACACAGGCGGTGCTGAACAGGGGAAAACTCTGTGGGTTCTGCTTCAGTTTGCACATACCCCGGCCTCGTTCCGGGCAATGCAAGGACCAGAAGCCCATCACCATGCTTTATGCCGTCCTTCTTTTGAAAGGCCCGACACACCCACGCAAAGCCCTTCAGGGGACACCACCACTTGCCCTGATACCCTGGCAAAGGGACCTTGCAAAGAAAGGGGCAGACTCGCAGGAGGCCTCCTTGGCCACGGGGGAAGTGGCTCACCGATTCCACCAGCAGCTTCTTGCTGGATTCGCCGATGCTCTTCAGTGCCACGTCCACGTCCTTCTGGCCAGGGAGGCAGTTGACGCAGTTGTTCAGCGAGTGGGACACGGCTTTCGCCACCTAAATGAGACACACCGCCAGGCGAGAGGAATCAGAGGATGGCAAGTAGCCCCAAGACCCCCAACCTTTTTTCCTGAGGCTCTGACAGTTGAATCCCCTTTGCTGGATCAGACCCCGAGGCCGCTGGAGGGAGCCAGGCTCTCTGAAGCCCAGGACAACCAGGGAGCAGACTCGCAAGCAAGGAAGTCGAGTAAACTGCGTTACGGGGTAAACAACGTGGCTTCACATGGAAGGAGAATTCAAGGGATTCAAGCGGGGGGGGGGGTCTTGCATGGGGGGGATTACAAATCTCAAGATGGCACCAAACACACAGAAATATAAGAGGAAGAGTTTCAATTGCTCCATTCTGGCCTGATCATTTAGAGCACAATCTGCAGACACTCCTGGACTTGGGGAGAATTTTGGGCCAGGGAGGCAGATGAGGGGGACAGTTCTGAACAGCAGCCAGACCGTCCGAGTGGCCGCAGCCACATGACCCTTTTGCCAGGAGCGGTTCTGATGTGGGTGGTAGCTGAGTTGGGGCAGGGTGAGTGGCAGCCTCTCTCTGGCTGCTCTGCACCCACCTGGGCCAGCCTCTGCTGACTCTCGGCATCCCCCGGAGACACCAGGGCCTGCTTGGCCTCCTGGATGAGCAGAGCGGAGCCTTCCATCACGTCCCACGCAGAGTCCAGCATCGCGCGGGCCCCAGCTGGGTCGCCTGTGGATGCGGCCACGCCCCGCGCCGCTTGTGCCAAGGTCTTCAGTGCCTGGGCTGTTTCCCGGGCAGCCACCCCTGGAGGAAAAAGGCGGGGAAGTCCAGTCAGCAGCCTGCAGGCTGTCCCTGCCTGCCCCAAGGAGAAGACAAGAGAGGCCAAGGCCGAGCCGAGCCCAGTGGCCAGCGGGCATCTTGGGGGCTGCCAGCAGGACATGCAGCCATTCTCTTCTGTAGAGAGATTCGAGGGGAGGCTGTCCTGGACCTCAAATCATGAGGTAGGAGGCGAGAAGGCAGAGCTTCTCTGGAGCTGCCCCCCCTCCATGGGAACCTCTTCCCCACCCCAAGATTTGATGGCGCTGTTCAGAAAGCCTCTGACAAGTTTTGCAGGCTGCTTACAAGCCAGGAGGCACATGGCTGTCTTTATTGTCTGCTCCTTTCTGTATTTTATTGAATGGCATGGTGCTGTTTTTATTTATGTAAATTGCCAAGAGTTGGCTAAAATAGGATGGCACATAAAATAAGCAGATCATGAATAAATAGAGCCGGTGTCATATCAGCCACCCTTAACTAATCTCCTGCCCTCAATGAATCTGTATCTAAATTATTAACTAAAAATCTTACAAAGAAACAAGAGAAGGAATTAGAAGGCAGTACAAAAATTCAAATAACCAAGAAAATAAAATACTTAGGGATTTGGCTTACTGTAAGATGCTTCTCAATTAAAGAAGGCAACTATGGCAAATTACTACTGCAAATTAAAGAAGGTTTAGATAATTGGAAAAATTTTACAAATTTCATTTATGGGAAGGATCGCTATGATCAAAATGAATATTTTGCCCAAAATACTATTTCTCTTCCAAGTTATACTAGTAAAATTAGAGAAGACGTTCTTTGAAACATTAAATAGAACAATTACCAAATTTATATGGCAAAGAAAAAGACAGAGAATTAGATTAAAAACATTGCAAGACACAAAAGGGAAGCCCTTCTAATTAGCCTGATCAGCTGGACCTCGGAATCTCCCGTGGACAAGCCGGCCAGGATGCAACGTGATCGACACAAAAGCATTTTCATCAATACGTGAATCTTTTGGCCAACTGGCCAAGAGCCCCCAAGGGCCGCTGCAGAAAAGGATCTGCTCTTGCAAATCCTTGATTTCTGGGTAAAATAAACAGCTGATTCAGCATCAGGGGAGTCGCTTTATTAAAATGTGTGGCCCAGAAGAAATTGGGTCACGGCACCCCGCCATGCCCAGGTCTCCAGAGCTGCTTTATGCGCATTGATTCAAAGTCTGGTTCCAACTGTGTGTAAGAAACATTTGCTGTCCTTTTATTGCAAGAGATCCTGGGGAGATCCAAGCCTCTCTGAGCCTAGCGTTGATCCATCAGCCTCTGCCCACCACAGGGGGCCAGCAAAATATTGTTTTCCTGAGAAAGCTGCCCTGCCCCCCCCGTCCCCCCCCACCCCCCCGCTTACCAAGCCCATGGATGCCTCTGGATTCATCTTTAGGAATAGTTTGCAAACTTCTATGAATTGTTCTCAACAACAATACTGTCTTTGCAAGTCTTTGGTTGTGTGCATGGGCCAAACACCTGAGGTGAGATGACTGGGTAAGGCCGTGATTCCTGCCCCCCTGCCCTCACCTGGGGCGGCACGGCTGAGAGGGCAAAAAGCATTTGTACCTGTGTAGTCTTCGTTGCCTTGGGCGGCACAGGTCAACAGCTGCGCCATGGAGGAACCGACAGCTTTGGAGATGCTTCCCAAGTCCTGGGCACATTTTTCAAGCTGAGGAACAGAAACGACCTTGTGATGAACCTTCCCAAGGTTCTTCCCAGATGTGGCAAAGGCCCACTGGTGGCACCTCTGAGACTGGCACAGAGTTCCTTCCCGTAAGAGTGGCACCCCCAATATTTCAACTCTGCCTCACAAAAGGGCACTTTCTCCATGCATCTCTCTCATCAGTCACGGCTTTTATTAACTGCCAGCAGGACTTCGCCACTGAAGGGCAACCTCTTGTTCAACACTCAAATGGAACGAGTGCTAATTCTGCTGTTGGAATGCAGCTGTTTTTTGCAGAAGTTATTCCATCCTGGTTGACTCTCTTAAAACAAAACTTGTAAACCTCTTGGTTAAAATGGCCATAAAATGATTTGAACTATTGGGAAAAGCTTACACTTCCTAGTCTGCCCAGGCCATCTGATCTCAGCACAACACTCTGGGCCTGTACTAGCCATAAGCCGAGGGAAGGAGCCACCCTTATGAACTATCCAAAGGGAAGGAACTGAACATATATGTAAATGCAACCCCCCAAATTTTACTTTGGTTAGTATATACATTGTTTAAAAAAGCCTCATGTGATATTCTCCAGGTACCGTTTCCCCCGGAAGAGGCTTCAACTGTCCGTCGAGGGCCGCCATCTTTGCATCCTGCAATTCATTTTTCAGGGTCTGGACGGTGTTCAAGGCCGAGTCGATCTCCATGGGACCACAGGCTTCGTGTGCCTAAGCGCAAGAGGGACGAACAAACACATCCTCACTGCTCTCTCACCACAAGCACAAAGCTCCTCCAAAGGAGGGGGGAAACTGATGGGGAAGGAATCGGGGGGGGGCTGCCCACCTTCTGAGAGGCCGTCCTCAGCTCTGCCAGGCTGGTGGCCAGATTCTTGGCACACTGGCTCAACTGCATGGCCGCCGCCTGGTCGGTCACGGTTGGCACTGCTGCTTTGGCCGAAGCCACCATTTTGCTCCCTGGCTGTGGAAAGAAAGACCGACCACGGTTGGCCTTGGTGGCCCCTCGTCTTGCAGAGCAAGGCCCCTCCCCACCCCACGTCCTCCCTCCAACTCGCCTACCTGGAGGAAATTTTGGCTGGAGTTGATCAAGGCGAGTTGGGCGCCCAAGTCCTCCGCCTGTGCTTGGCTCCCTCGCACGCCTTGCACCAGCTGCGGGATGTGGTCAGCCACGTTCTGCCCAGAGGAGAAAGAAGGAAGGCACGCTTGGCTCTCCCACAGGACAGCTCAAGGCAGAGCCCAACTGGACAATCGCTTCTGTCACAGAGTGGAGCAGTCGCCTAATGGGCCAGAAACTGAGGCTGGGAGAGGTCTAGCCAGGTCAGGGTTGAGTGGCTGGTCATTTAATTCCAGCGTGGAGGTTTCAGAAGAGGCTTTGCCTCCACCCCTTCGGAGGCCCAGTCAAACAGGTTGTGTGAAGAAAGCCTCAGAGTGCTGAAGGAAAGCAGTTCACCCAGAATGGATTTCCGGGGCTGGAGCAGCTTCCAACCCATGAAGATCTGGCTGTCCAGGTGGCCTCTTGGGATTATTCAGAGAGTGTTTTCTCGGGATTCCTCAAGTCAAGCCTTGCTATGGACACGTTAAGAGATATGAGGAGGCCCCTTTCCCCTCTTTTAACTTCTTCCCAGTCCGAGCGGCCTAGTACCTTGCAGCTCTGGACTAACTGCTGGTGGGCTGCCGTGTTCTTGTTTGAAATGGCAGCGTTCTGCGAGGCTGCGATGGTTTGAGTGGCGGCTGCGGCTGCCTGTTTTGCTGCCACCTGCAAGAAGGAGGGTCTGGAAAGTCTTGGAGAGGCAAGAGAGAAGGAAGGGGTGTGGGGGTGGGGCCAGCAGACGAGAACTGGTGGGGAGGGGACAGACCCCCAGGTTGGAAGACTGGAAGATCTACCAAGAAGGCAAGGCTGGCAGAATTTACTCAGTTCTGAAACCCTGAAAGGAAACCTTCCTTTCTCTTTACAAACCCAGACTCGTTCTGGGCATTGGCTCCCACGAAGCCACCTCATCCGCTTGCCTTTCACAGGATGGTTAGGCTGATATGCAGCCTCCTCGCAAGCTGGTCCAAACGTCCAGGCTGACGGGCATTCTCTTCCCCAGCTGTGTATTGCCACCGATCCGGTGGACGGGGCAGAAAGCAGCTGCCTGAAACGTTTGGTCTAAGTTCAGGGCCAACAACTCAGCCAAGGAGAAAGAGGAGGAAACCTCACCTCCAGTCGGTTCACAATCTTCTTCTTAATGGCGTTCTGGGCAGCTGCGTTGGTGGCCACCCGGAGCCCTTCGGCCGCTTCCCGCAGCCTCTGCTGCTGGTCTTCATTGTCGGGGTTGGCAGCAGCTCCCTGGGGGACACCAATCGCAAAGACAAAAGTCGGGAGGGATCAGGCCCATCTCAGCATTCGTGTTAAGGGGGAGTCCCCCCCCCCCAAAAAAATTAAGCACTGGCTGGGAACCCTTGGCAGCCACACTGGTGCGCTTGGGCTTCTGTGGTACCTTTGCAGCTTCTACCATCCGGGCTGTGGAATCCGCAAGAAGTTTGGCAGCTGCCAGGAGCTTCTTCGAGTTCTCCATGTCAATTTCTGCCTCGGCGTCTGAGCGCATGGCGTTCACCAGATCTGAAGTTGCTTGCGCTAGCACCCTGGCCTGCCGCACCATTTCCCCTGCAACGGGATTCAGAGTTTGCTTTTGTATCTCCCCCATGCTCTAAAACTGACGATTTCCACTCAAGCACTCCCAGGGATTGGCGTGGAGAGAAATACCCCTGCGGAACATACTTAGGTCTTCAAAATGCCACAGAAACAAGTGCCCCCGTGTCTGGGGCACAGGGACTCCTCTGGTAGCCAACCCAACTGGGTGACCAAGAGGCTGAGTGGGCAGGTTCGCTTCTTCCAGACAGGGGCCGAGGGTGTCAAAAAATGTCAAGATGCTTACCGGCATCCCCCATGGAACTGAAGATGCTCTCGGTGACATACATGATGGTGTCGGTGGCCTGATCGTAGCGCCCGATGGGCTCCCCCCGGCTGGCAAACTGGCGGACGTGCTGCAGGAGGTCATTCAGGGCCTGGCTGACCACGCTGGCTGCCGCACTGACTTGCTTGAGCAGTTCGGTGTCGTCCGTGGCAGCCTGGCACGCCCGCACGCAGTTCTCCACGGAGCGATCCACCAGCTTCCCGGCTTCAATCAGCTGCTCCTGACACACCGGGGAGCTGATGGTGGGACTCACCACCTGCAGCAAAGCACATGCAGCCAGGAGAGGTGAGCAGCAGGGCGCAGGGCATCTGGTCTGTGAAGGCTTGTCTGGCCGCCGCAGCAGGGTGGGGGCTCTTTCGACCTCACCAACAACTGACCAAGAGACCACTGATGTCCGTCCAGCTCTCCACAGCCGGGCAGTATCAAAGAAGCTAGAACTATCTTGTCCACCCTGCCTTGCCCACCCCTCTCTGGACGCACCTTTGCACAAGCCACCAGCTGCGAGGTGGAGAGGGCGCACTGCGTGGCAGCCGCGATCACTCTGTTCTGCAGAACAGTGTCCTCGGCCACCTGAGCCACGTTCTTGGCTTTCAGTACCAACATGGCGGCGGCATTGGCCACAGCTTTGGCCAGACTCATCAAGACATCCTGGGGAAGAGGAAGGAGGGAAAGAGGGCTGAACCATGAGAAGAGGCTCAGATCATCTGCAGGGCATCCTGGTACAGAAATCTTCAAGGGGGCCCAGGGGAGCTTTACCTGGAAACGTTCGTCTGTCTCGTTCTCCCCGATCTGCCTGAGCAGCTCCCCGCTGGCTTGGCCGATGCTGCCGGCTGCAGTCAGAACAGTCTGCCGGGGCTGGAAGGGCAGAAAGTAGGAAAGATGAGAGTTTTACCCGAGGAAGAGAAATTCTCCAAGCTGCTGCAATTCCACCAAAGCAAAGTCCTTTCTGTGGACAATCCAGAAGGCTACAACAATGACCAGGATATCTTTCCTGCAGGGGGCAACCAGGGCGACCCACTGCCCTTCTGCCCCATGGTCTCACCTCTCCTGATGTCGGTTCCACTGCTTTGAGCAGGTTTGAGACAGCCCCTGCCAGGGTCCGAGCGGCCTTCAGCAGGTCTTCCCCACTTCCAACCTCGTCGTCCATGAGGGCCGCCAACAACTTGACCCCCTTGGACATCTCCGTAAGGTTGGAGGAAATGGTGGTGATGGCACAGCCCACGGCTGTGTAGTCTGTGTCGACCGGGTCCCCTGCCAAGCAAAGCAGACCAGGAGATGCCCAACGTCTAAAGGCATTTCAGAGGCCCAACCTTCAGAGACTTGGACTTTGTGGGTCTGGTTATTGGATTTTTGTTGCTGCTTACTGTTCCAGAGCATCTTCTGCTTTGGCCCAGAGCAGCCTTGGGGTTTATTGCAAGCCCCACTGAGAGGTTATTCCTGAATGCCCCACTGAGATGGGAACGCTGACCAAAGTCAACTCAACAGATGCTTCCTTCAGAACTTTGGAAAGATACACGTTACACTCACCAACCTCACAGGACCACTACAGAGCATGTGGCCTCCTTACCTGCTGTAAGGTTCACCACGGAAGCTGTCCCTGCAGTGATTGCATCAACCTGAGAGTGTATTTCATGTTTTGACTCGTCCACTTTGTTCTGGACCCAAACTCTGGAAGCCTGGAGAGAAAGGCAGACCATTGATGCCAGCTTAGAAGACCGTGGGACATCTTCTAACTTCTAGGTTTGCTAATCCTTGGACCACATTCTCCAACTTGGTGGCCTTCGGACAGATGGGCACCTGCTAGGATCCTTAGCCATTACCAAGTGAGTGAAGGATTCTGGGGATTGAGTTCCACACATCTGGAGAGCACCAGCTCAGGAAAGACTTCACTAGATGGGAATTGTGATTAGAGGTCTACCCTGGTTGCTAAGAAACTTCCTGGGAATCCTCAATATTCAGGGCTCCCCAGAAGGATGGCTCTGACCCCTCAAACAAGGGCAACCGTTTCACACCATTTCCCTGGGTCAGGCCTGTTCTTCCTGGGGGGAAGAAGTGTTTTCACACCTGGAGGGGCCAATTCACACAAGGATAACCAAGGACTTTCCTACAGGAGACTCAGAAAATGGCCAAGGGGGGGACCGTTATGCTCATATAGGCACGAAAGCATTCTGAAACCCAGAAGGGCTGCTGAGAGAGCCTGAATGTGGAGAAAGAGCAGAAGCCCCAGGCCAGTGTTGATTTTGGAGAGAGGGTCTTCCCCTTGCCCCGCCCCCCCAAAGCCAACTGACCATGTCATTTCCTAAAGGCGGAAGGTCATCGATTTGGGTGAGGTCTGCCTGCGTCTGCTGGACGGCCTGCATGCTGGTGTTGATGGTGCCCATCAGGGCCTGCTGGGCTGAGGTCTGAGAAAAGCCAACCGGGTTCAGCAGATCTTCTCCTGTGGGAGGGGCTTCCCAGCAGGGCTCTGCAACCAGGGACCCTCCCCCTTGCTCAGAGCGGGAGGGGAGGGGCTCACCAGAGGGGGCATGTGGGCCCGGTGCATCTGCCCAACCGTCACCTGCTGCTGTGGGGAAGGCATGCTGCCCATGTTGAAGGTCTCTGGGCCGGTGGAGCCTGAGCGCATGACGGCCGGAAGCGCCACAGAGCCATGCTCCACCTTTCCGGTGCGGTTGAACTGCTGCTGCAAAATCGTCGACCTGCCGAAGGAAGGGCAGAACCCAGCTGGGAAGGGAGCTCTTTGCCCTCTGTGATCCTTCCCATGGGGAGCAATTGAGGCACAACCCGATGCTGCCTCTCCAGCACTTCCTCCATGTCTGGGAACAGGGCTGTGCACCACCTCCAATTCCACAAAAAGCCACTCTTCCACCCACCCACCCCGATGCCTGATGAGCTGCTCCGGGGCCCCCAAAAGCTTGCATCCCCTTAGGGACTTCATATCTGACACGCTCCAGTAAGGAGGCCCATATTGGAGAGATGCAAAGAGGAAGGAAGACCTTGGAGATGGGAAGAAGAGCAGCTTTCATGAAAAGGAGGCAAGACTGGAATAAAGGCGCATGACAGCTCAGGGGCTCTCAAGGCCTGCCGGAGGGAAACCAACCCAGCCCTCTTCCACATACTTTTTGGGAGAGACGGATTCTTCCAGCATAGTTGATTCCTCATCTCCTTCCAGCCCAAAGCGGTCCTTGCTTTGCTTCTGCAGAAAAGGCCAAGAGAGGTTCTCGGTCCCTTCCTGTGTCTTGTGAATCCATCCCACTTTTTGCAAAGGGGTCTGAACACCCACCAGCCCACTCTGGAGGGATCTCCAGGCTCCCCCCGGCCGGGGCTCTAATCACAGGCCCTTTGGCTCACCAGAGAGGCTTCTGGCCAGTTGCCCCAAGGCTTAGCTCACGGTAGGGGCAATTTCCCACCACCAGCACCTAAGGACATGCCCTGTCCCCCAAACCATGGCCGGACAAGAGACTGGAGGAAAGACACTGCAAAGTGTCTTGGGAACGAAAATGGATTGGTTCTCACCTCCTCCCTTTATCTTCATACAGGTATGGAATGGAAGCCACAGGGGAAGAGAGTCACCAAAGGCCCCCTCTCACCCCCCAACCCAATGCCCCCCATTCCCCACTGCTTGGCAGTTTGGGGACAGGTGGCTGGGACGGCTGCCTGGATGCAGAGTTCAAGGCTGTCCCTCCTCCTCCACATTCAAGGTAACAGGGGGAGCAGGTGGGGCCCCCCAACGGAAGCCGAAGGGTTGTACCTTCTTGAGGATGATGTCAATGTAACCTGCGATCAGCTGAGAGATCTGCTCCCCTTCAGTGGTCTGAACCGAATAGTAGCTCTCTTGGTACTCCCCAAAATCCTAAGGGAAGACACAGCGCTATTTGCATCAAGATTGGGACACCCAATTTGGGAGACTTTTCTTTGGCTTCACTCTCACCACCACGAATTACCAGGGTGAAGCTTTTGGGTGAAGCCGCCCAGCGCTTCACAGTGGTCAGAGGCCACTCCTGCAAGACTTCCTTGGTCTTTTCATCCACACGCATCACAGACTCCTTGGTAATTCCTAGCAAACGTGGGACCAGTTTGTTCTTTCCTTTCATTTTCTCCTGTGAAGGGAAAACAAAACAAAACAAAACAAAAAAAATTGGAAGAATGTAAGAAGACTCCAGAGGATGGATCCAGTTGAAGGCCTATCTGGTGCAGCTTTGGTGTCCTTCAGAAGCCAAGCAGGTGGACCCAGGAAGCTCATCAAGAGGCGGTCGCACAATTCCACTCAACAAAAAGCAGGAAACAGTCATGAAGTGCAGCAGGACGCCTGACCCTGGTCGCCTGTGGACTGGCTGAACCTCCTTTTACTGCTCTCAAAAATTAAATCTATGATGCATCTGAGAACAGCAAATTCTATAGATTAATATGTGTCAAGAAAGCCTTCCTTCTCTTGGAACTGAATCTCCCTGCCTTGAGTGCCAGTCAAGACTGCCATATCCCACCCCCCTTTCCTACGTCACCCATGATCTCCTAGACCCCTGTCCTCTTTCCCCTTCTAGGCCTTCCCTCTAAACCCCCAAAGCCCAGCCTTTCCTCCATGACCCACAGCTCGAGTCCCGAGTTCATTGGTGTGCTCTTTGGTGCATTATATGCATACTTCACTTTGGCTCACAGCTCCAGAAAAGGGTAATTCTAGCTCATGTTTTAATAAGTTAAAAATAAGTTAATTGGGATATGGACTCTAATCTTGACTGCTCTCCTTAGAACGTGAACGGTTCAGCAACTAAATTTTGAGGAAATGCAAGCGGTTGACCTTCAGTAAAACAAGTGTAAAAAGAGAAAGCCACGTCTGCTATTGTAATTCATTTCAGTTCCCCAAGTTACAATAATTCATTCAAAGCAGAGTGGATTAAACGTTCAGAGCATTTGTTAAACAGCTCAGGTTTTTAAATTCTCTGCTTTCCTCCCCTCATAAATCGATCACAACCAGACATTTCACACCGCTCTTCCCGAAATGACTTAATTGCCATTTGCTTCAGTCAGCCCTAAAAAGAAGGAAAGCATTCAAAGAATGGAATATGTGTTTTTAATTGAATGAACCCCAGCATATCACTGCCGTCAAATAATTGTCTGAATTGTTGTCTTCCTCTGGTGCCCCGTGGTGCCAGTTGGAAGTCACCTGTTAGGAGAACATCGAAGGACTCCGAGTGTAAGAAAAAACACAAGTTGTGTGGCAGCATTCTGGGAAAAACCACTGGCGTACAAATTGCTCCTTTGCAAGGTGGTTAATTCACCCGAAAGGAACACGGAAAGGAAATGGCTAACCACAAAGTGCCACTCCACCAGAAAAGGCCACGTTCTCAATCAGGAGAGGGAAGGTCTCCTGGAAACACAAAGCGGGGATGGTTCAGCCAACGGAGAACTTTGTTACTAATTTTTCAGTGGGGTCTAAGAACACAAATTATCAGCCAAGTTCACACTGCAAATTCAAATTTGGCCCAGTTTAATGTCAGGGAAAAGAGGGAAGGGCCTGGTGGCTCAGCAGACTAATAGCATTGTGATTAACACCAGCTGTCTGCAATTACTGTAAGTTCGAATCTCACCAGGCTCAAGGTTGACTCAGCCTTCCATCCCTTTCTAAGGTAGGTGAAATGAGGACCCAGATTGTGGGGGCAATAAGATGACTTTGTATAAATATACAAAAGTATGAAGGCTATTGCTTAACGCATTGTAAGCCGCCTTGAGTCTCCGGAGAAGGGCGGCATATAAATCAAATTAAAAGAAAAAAAAGGAAAAAAAAAGGATGTGTTTACTTCGCCCTCATCTGGCTTTATGACCAGGTGCCAAAATGTCAATCAGACTTGTCAATGTTGTGATTTCTCTAAGTCAGAGGTGGGTGACTTTAGGACCTGTGGACTTCAACTCCCAGAATTCCTGAGCCAGCATAAGGGATTCTGGGAGCTGAAGTCCACAGGTCCTAAAGTTGCCATGATTGCCGACCCCTGCTCTATGTCTACTCAGTAGACATACTGACTAGGAACCTCAGATTGGCTTTATGATAATGGCACTTGGCCTCTGGCATCTGGTTACATGAGGACAAACCCAGTCCAATCATTCAGATGTACCGATCCAGATCAGGAATGGATTTTGGCCAAGACCAAGTGAGGAAAGGAAAGTCTTTCAGTTCTTCCCTTAACTCTTAAATTTTTTGAGTTGAAAAAGGTGTCAACTCTTTATCCAGGTTTTATGAAACATATTCTTCACTGTTGCAAGCACCAACCGTTGAATCTCATTGAGTAAATTTAATTCAAGTCCAAATCGTACCTTCACCAGGAAAAAGGAGACTCCATAGGTCCTCAGAGACCGGGCCAACTTCACGTACTTCACTTTTGCCTCTATTTCTGTCATCTCTCCGCAATTCTTGTGTTCCTGTGGTAAAGAGGACTATTTTTGTCAAGCTGAAACCTCCTAGGAGAAGGCCTAACTCGCTGTGTAACAGGCAGACTTTCAAGGTGCTGCTAGAGAGAGTCACCTCTGAACTTTTTAATTTATTCGCTTATCAAGATCCAGAACCTGACAAGTCTCAACAGATCAGCCCCAGCTGGGCAAGGGTCTGAGGTGAAATGGGCTATCTTGGCCAAATGGGCAACGACCGGTAAGATCCCACAGAGTTGGTCTCCTCCGGGTCCCGTCAGCTAAACAATGCCGGCTGGTGGGCCCACAGGGGAGGGCCTTCTCTGTGGCCTGAGGTCCAGACCATTCCCACCCTATTGGCCTTCCAAAAAGCGGTGAAGACCTGGTTTTTCCGGTAGGCCTGGGGCCATTGATCTCGCTCTTACGATCCGGCAAGATCCGGCCATGAATGGTGTGAATGAGTTTTAATGTTTTTAATGTTTTTAATTCTTAGATGTTTTTTATAATGATTTTAAATGCATTGTGAGTCGCCCTGAGTCTTCGGAGAATAAATAAATAAATAAATAAATAAATAAATAAATAAATCTTCTCACTGTTTGACCTCCCTTTCTCAGCCATGCTCTCTTCTCCATCGTCCTTGCCCATGGTCTACATCCCTTCCTTTCTCCACCTAGCATCTGAGAGAGTCAGCCGAGGGTATTTTGTTTTCTGCAGCTCACGTCAGCTTTCATTAACCTCTGAGGTACCAGTGTTATCTCAAAGACGTGAAATTCACGCATGGAAAGATATTTCCTCAGCCTTTGGAAGACAGGTCTCATCATGTGTCCATAGGCCTCTTGAAAGAGTTTCGCATCACATTTTTGACGCTTGGCATCTTCCAGGATATGCCTGATATAGGCGGCCAATGTCTGTGCTATCAAGAGCAGAAAATGGGGATTTTTCAAGCTGTCCTGGATGTTCGTAGCACCTCTTTATACTTTCCCCTCCAGGCCAATTATAAATGTTGGCTTCAGCACAAGGGGATGCTCACTCACCTTGCGTTTAGAGCGAACCAGATTAGGCAACTGATTGCAACTTGGAGGAGAGGCTGCTCCCTATGCCAACTAATTAGCAAACCAGATGTCAAAAGTTTGCTTGCCTTCTGGAACCTTCCCTCCCTAAATAGTGAATCTCGTAACACTTAGTAACAAATAGTGAAGCCCGGAGTAAAAGTTATTTGTCTATTTTCAACAGATCTGAGACTGGTATCTTAGTCGCTCCTGCTCAGTTTCGTTTGAAAGGAATTGTTAAAGTGACCTTAAGTAGCATTTTATTTTTTGAGAACCAAGACACAGATTAGGAAGGACCCGAAACACACGCAGGCCATGGCTCGAAAGAACAGCTCTCAGTTTGCTACAACAGGAATATTTCTAATTCCCAAACTCGAAAGAGTTTCAATCAGCGTCAGCCTTTGCCTTTGTCTTGTGCCCTCCAGATGCTGCCTGGGTGTGGTGGGAATTGAGACTGAAAACATCTGGAACACATCACCCTGGGGAAAGCGGCAGAACTGACCGAGCAGATGAAGCCCCATGCTTTTCGTCAGCTGTTTCCCAACCAGATGTGTCAGTCCGTAACTTCCAGGGTCCCCACTGTTCACACTGACTGAGAATGGTGGGAATTCTAGCTCCAAACATCTGGAGGGCATTTGATGAGAAAAGCTACATTGGATGCAGCTAGTCATACAAGGGTTTCTAGCCCCCTTAGGGCCTTTCATGTCCTCCCTCCCCATGCACTGAACTGAGCAGAACCCCAAACCCCTAAAACCTGTCATCCATTCCACCCTCAGAAGGCTCCTTTTTCCTCCTTAGGAAGGATGGCCCTTCTTTGCTTTCCACACTGCAGTCAAAAGCTATTAAACACCCTCCTTTCTTGAAGAGAACGCACTGAAAAGCGAACCAGTCTTCCAACCAGACACAAAACTATAATTTAGGGTAGGAAGTTTGCCAAAGGGAGCAAAAGAGAGGAAGAACACCTGTTTCCTTTTCACTTGACAGAATACCACAAAGCCAATGTGGGGCTGCACAAACCACATACACACACACACACACAGAGAGAGAGAGAGAGAGAGGGAGGGAGAGAGAGAGAGGGAGGGAGAGAGAGAGAGGGAGGGAGAGAGAGAGGCTGGGGGTAGAAGACTCCCTTTTTTAATTACCTGGAATATTCTCTTTTCAGCTCCTCTTTGCTTGATGTATTCTTTGGGGAGAAATTCTTTCAGACTGTAGGAACAAGAAGTCACCATTAATTATTGGTTCAATTTATTGGTTCAATTTAATGAAAGGCCTTCTTCTCTTGAGTGGGAAACACTCAGCTGCAGAGGTTGGAAAGAAGATCCATGGAGTCAGGCTGGCTGGGGCATTCTGGGAATGGAAGTCCAGCAGCTGGCCAGTTGTAATTATTCCGTGATGAACATGCCTGGATGAACCCCTCAACTGTCTGACTGCAGGGATTCTCCCTCATTAAAGAAAGCACCCTAAGGGGCAAACAGTGGGAACGAGGCCCTGGGGGTCTCACCCCCAATCAAGCCTTCTGAAGCTGAACTCTGAGCAGGGTGCAGCTCCGCTGTTCCCGAGGCAGATGCAAACCTCCAGATATGATTCAGCCACATTATTTAAATTCCGTGGAGCTGCTTTAGCAAAATCCGATGAATATCACCCACATCATTCAACATCAGCAGCATCAGGAACCCTTCAAGGGAGCTTCCAAAGGAGGACTCAGCCTTCCATCCTTCCAAGGTGGGTAAAATGAGGACCCAAAATTGTTGGGGGCAATATGCCGACTCTGTAAACCGCTTAGAGAGGGCTGGAAATCCCTGTGAAGTGGCATAGAAGTCTGAGGGCTATTGCTATTTCCCTGAGGCTGGCATGGCTCTGCCTTGCCCGCTGAGGTGGCCCTGCATTTCCAAGGGGATGAGCATTGGCAAAGAGGGCCCACTCCACCCTTTTGTGCTTTGAGGAAAGAGGCTGGGCGCGAGAACCAGACTGCAAGAGGCCTGGGGACGGCAGATGTGGCCCTAGCCTTCTCAGCAAGAAATGCTGGAATTATCTTGGGGGGGGGAGTGAGGGGGGTGATCCCCAAAGACCCCCGGGCTGAAGCAATTGTGCAGGCAGCTGCCCAGCTCCAGTTAGCCCCCAAGGGAAGAATCTCACTTACTCCAAGAATCCAGGTTTGTGCTTGTGCTCCACGTGAGGCCCGAACTGGATCTGTGCCTGAAAAGCACCAAATTCACAGGCCTTCTCGAAGGATACTGGGTGGGAACCGTTCAGAATGTCATCACGGGCCTAGAAGGCAAGCAGGGAAAGAGTCCATATCAGGCCCAAAGATCCCGACTCCTCCTTTGCCAACCCCCAAATTTTCCAAGAAACTCAGCACTTCCCTTCCTTACAAAGGAAATGAGAAGGAGCACCTTCCTGGCATCAAGTGGTCATTCAAAGCAGCATCAGTGGGAATAAAATGCCTCACCTTAATGGACTTACTAATAAATGGGGCTAAAGTACCCAATTCCAGCTTCCAAGATTCTGCAAACTAATCCCCTTTCCTTTCAATAAATCTAGTTAGTCTAACTCTGCAAGAATCTAGTTTTTTGGGGTTGGGACCCACTGTTCAGGGCTTCACACCCACAGGTCGTGGTTTAACATGATGTGCAGATGGGCGGCTTGCTAAATCAACGAGGGTCAAACTGCCTTTGGCCAGACCAGCTGGTGCCTTAGCAAGAGGGTCACCTGGACATAGAGCAGGTTGAGCTGGACGGGGTCTCTGGAATCCACGTTCTGATCAGAGTAGAAGAACTTCCGTCTCAGAAGCAGCGTCTCGTTCTCATCCACCCCTTGTTCCCGAAACGTTCGGCTGTGATCCAACCAGTTCACTGGGGGGAGAAGAGAAGAAGGAGGCAGATCATTTCACAGCTGTTCTTCAGCTTAGCCTCCTTCAGATCACTGGACTGCATCTCCCATGGTTCCCTACGGGCTTGGCTACGAGTCACTATGGGAACTGGACAGCAGCAAGTTAGGAAGGAGAACATGCAGAGCAAGATTTTTTTAAAAAGACTTCCGAGAGCTGGTTAAGGAACCTCCTTACTTAGGACTGTATTTTAAACAATTAGAATGAGCCATGGTTCACTTTGGAGATCTCCAACTCCTTTTTTTAAATATATATATTAACCCTAGATTTAGAGTGGGGGCATTTCAAGATATCTGCATCCCCCTTAGATTACGTGCAAATCTAAGATGTTCCTACTTAACTAGTGCTACTACGAAATCACTCCCATTTTCAAGGCAATCGCATTCGAGTTCTTCGTCCCTGGAAAAGACTCAGTATCCGAGGGAACCACTCACGGTCATCATCGGTGTGCAGCTTGGCTTTTAATTTTTCCATCTTTTTTTCATCCCGTAGCAACGTCCGATCCTTCTTCAGGGTCCCCGTGCCCTCTTCCTTCTTCTCCTCACTGCCTTCTTGGATTAAGGAATACTCTTCATAGTTGGTTATGCCTAAAAATGCAAAAAAGTCATTTTTCTGAGCTGCAAGAACTGGCATGGCTTGGGGAGAAGTCTGTGGGTCAGAACCACCCCAATGAAGCCTGAAGAAAGAGCAACTCTTTGGAAATGTTTCCTGCCATTGACTCCCATGAGTGAATGTTGCCCTTTCCAGAACTCTAAGCGCACCTGTCTTCTTCATCCCATCCAGCAAACAACAGAGTTGAGCAATAGAGGACAGGCACAAGGACTTCAGCCCATCCAGCAGCAAAAAAAAGAGACTTTCTTCTGGCAGAAGAGAATTTGAAGCATCCCATCTAATTAAGAGGACGGCATCCTGGCTGGGAGCTCCAGGGAAATAGGCTGCACAAGGTCAGCCTCCAGCCCTTGCAGCCCACTTTCAAACCAAGGAAGACCTAAGAGAGGCAGACCCTTCTCCTTCGGTCCGCACCAAGGGCTACCCACCTTCTAGATGATAGCCAATTTATTGCACTACAGACCCAATTAATGGACAGCTGCCAACAGAGAGACAGAGCAAGAGATTCCCAGCACAGGTTCTCAATCCATGAAAAGGCTCTTTTGGACTAACTAACTACAGCCTGGCTCAAAAAACCACATTTCCTGGAATGTCACTTTTGGAAGCCACTCCTGATGGTTGATTACCACGGCCTGCCACAGAGTCTGCTCCACAGACTTTGTGCCCTCTTTCATGTGGGGTTTGGCCCCTTCAGATCATTTTGTCTGGAGAGGAGATTTGATTGCTCTTGTGTGGGAAATGGGGACGATCTGCTTGAAGGGCTATCCTCTATAATAATAATACTAATATTAATAACAACAATAAGAACTTTATTTTCATTGTACGTGTATACACAGTATACCCATACAATGAAATTCACTTAACACCCAAGACCAGGTCCAACACACATAACAATCCCCAAACACCCTCCCACCCACCACAATTCCCCACCCCTAAACCACCCAAACAACAGACCAAGTAATGCTGTCCAACAGCTCACTGATGGTGGCCTTTTAGTTCATTGTTGAGTGCAATTATAGCTCTGGGATAAAAACTATATCATATATAAAAACTCTTATCATACCTATCCGGCTGCAGATGGTCACCAGCAGTTCTCCAACGGTTTTAGAGTCATCCACCATCACCGTCTTCACAGAGCCATCCAACATCCTGATTTTCTGGGGCCTCTGCTTCTTTTTGTATTCCAAAACATCCTAGGAAGTAAACCACCAGAATATTTCACAGGAGAGATAAAGTTGGTGGGTTTCTTTGATCCTGACCACACCCAGGCAAGAAAGAGTCAAGGATACCCTAATTAGGACTTGCACCTCCAGGGATTCCCAGGGTTGTGGGCAAGAGGGAAATTGAAAGGAACCACTCCTGAACTCTTGTCAGGGAAGCTTTGTCCATGAGGTCACCAAGAGTCAAAGTGGATTCAAGGAGATTTTACCTTTATGGTGCAGAAGGCAGTTAGGAAGCAAGAATATTGGCTTATCTGAACCACAGTTCTATTAATAGGCCTAACTGGTCCTGCTTGCCCCCTGCAGCCCCAAGAAGTGGAAGGGCTCAGCTGTCCTTCTCATTCCTTGCCTAGAAGGACCCAAGAGCCTTACCCCGTTCCGTAGCATGTAGTAATCCAGGGTCCTGCCGGCCTCCAGCCAAATGCCTTTCCGTGGATCTTCATCGGACAGAAACAACCCGTAGTCAGAGGCTGTGAAAGAAGATGGAAGAGTTGCTGAAGAAGCTGCCCGCTCTTTTAGATGTCCACCTTCCAGTCAAGCAGAAAACTTTGTCGGGGCCTTCAGATTCATTCTTTAGCCCTGGTCTTCTGCTGGCCCTTGCCCTTCACCCTCACCCCTATCTCCTTTTCTCTTCCTTTGACTATAATTGGCTCCCTTCATTCTGTAGGGTTTAAAATTTATGATGCACGGATCAATGGATTGATTGTTCAGAGAGGGAGGAAGGAAGGAAGGAAGGAAGGAAGGCAGGCTCAATGTTGCTTCTATAAAGGGAATGAAGGTTTGTTGCTTTTCTGCAGTTAGGGATCTTCTAGGATCTGTGGCACAAGGTCCTCTGAACATCCCCACCTGCCTTCTCCTTGCCTCATTAAGCTGCTATGGAGGCAATGTTCTCAGATCTCTCTCTTGGCCATGTGAGGTTGTCCGTGTTTGTTTGTTCATTCATCTAGCTGCCCACCTTAACAACTCACCCACAACCAGTGTCTCTCCAGACTCACTTGCCTGTTTAGGAGCCACAGGTTGGCATCCCGTCTAATCCTACAGATTGATAGGGTGATTCTCAAGCATCCCTTCTTGTTACAGCATTGATATGCAAGCGATGGTTTAAGGGAGCCAGCGTGGGACCCAGGTTTGCCCGAGACTGACCTTGCCCTGTCTGAGCCTCTGGCACCCTCTCGCGGATAACCCGGCACGCATCATAGACTGCAGTGGAAGGTTCAAACTGCATCGTCTTCACCACATTGCATTGGCGGACACAGATTTTCAGCGACAAGGCAACCATGGTGCTGGATCCCTCGGGGGCTTTTATCTCACCTTCAAGAGAAGCAAAGGAAAACACTGGATGAGCATTGAGAAAAGAATCACAACTGCAAGACCTTCCTCTGAAACTGTCCCCCTCTGCTATCGCCACCATTCCACACTCTGGGACGCTGACTTAGAAGATGTCAAAATTATTTGCCCATCGAGCCAGTGATGCCTACTCTGGCTAGCAGCAGCCGAGTGGAAAGCTTCCAGATCAATTTTTTTCCTCATCTGCTACTCAGCGTATTTTGATCTCAAAGCCCAGCATGTAATTTGGGATCTTCTGCAGGGGAAGCCAACATTCTGCCACTGAACTCCATTTCTACCATAATCGCTCTTGATATTATGGTGTGGAATTATCCATTCTCTCTGTCTAAAATGTCAAATCCCATGCCAAGCGGTAGCAGAGCGGGTCCAGATTACAATTAGTTGGAATCCTATGGGGACGCATCGGTTTGCTTTCGGTCTTACTTTAGGATTTATGTGAAGCTCCAACCAGTCAGTGAAAGCTCTCCAAGCAGGCTTGGGGTTTCCTCCATTTGCTTCATGCAAACTCCTCTTCTACCTCAACTGTGTTGGGAGAGGAAGGGGGAAGGTCTAGGAGAAGCATCTTATACTCTAACTCATCCCAAAACGAGTCTTGGGCCAACAGCACCAGGGCCAGAAGCCTTCTACGGCCCCTACAGGACCCAACCAGTTGGAAGTTGAGTCCAAAAAGGAGCCCAACCTTCTCATAAAGTTAGAGAGAGCCAAAAGCACCCCTCCCCCTTTAGGACATGACTCAGTCAGCCTATTACTTAAGTGGCTCTCTAAAAGCTGGAGTTGATTACTGTCAAGGCTGCCCTTTGCTGGCTCTCCGAGAGATCTGCTTCCTTCTTTCCAGCAGCTGATCCCAGGATGGGCAGCCACCACAGCCTGGTCCTAGAGACAGCCCACCAAGAGAGGGAAGGCATGAGCAACTCCTGGGCTTAGCAAAACCTTCCTCCCACCCAGACAGAGGAGGTGTTAGATGGCCTCCCTGCAGAGGCAGGCACTTCCCGCAGAGAAAGGGACAACACCCACAACACTCAGCAGGGGTCTGGAAAATTTTAGGCAGTTACATCATGCTGTTCTCCAAGAGGCTGCAGCTGATGGACGAGGGAGATGGGGTGGGGAGGGGGGGGGGGGTGCAGGAATGCCCCACATGTTCAGGAAGGACGATGGCTGCCTGGTGGCTTCTCCCCATGCGCTGGCAAAGGTACACCACCTTCCCAAGGGCTAAACGGGGGACACAGTTGCGCAACAGGCTGTCAGGGTTCCAAATGATACCAAATCCAAATTCCACCAAATGAAAACTCCCGTCGTCTCCAGCAGCTTTTCATTAGTGAAAACTAAGAAGGCTTATTCCACCATGTCATGCCCCTTTTACCACTTATTCTGCATCTTACAGCTTCTCCCAAATATTTCCACACACTACATGTGGCTTTTTTTTCCTTTTTTTTTCTTTTTGAAATGTCAAAGACTCCACTGGGCAAAAAGAGATGAAAAGTTACAGCTCTCATTTCTGAGCTCTTGAAACACGCCCTGCAAAATATGGCAAAGAATATTGTACCGAACTCTCAATCCCAAGTCTTTGGGGCAAGGAAGGGCTTTGCCATCGGATGAAAAGGGGGGGATGGCAGTTCCAGACTGGAGGGTTATTCTCACTAGATCCGGGGCCTCCAAACTTGGCAACTTTAAGACTTGTGGACCAACTCCCAGAATTGCACTGGCTGGGGAATTCTGGGAGTTGAAGCCCACAAGTCCTAAAACTGCCAACTTTGGAGAGCCCTCTGCTAGCAAACTGGAACCTTGAACTAGAAATCTGCCAGTCACACCTGGAGGACATCCGGTCCTTTCTCTGCAGCAGCTCAGGAGCTCACTGCTGGCTGGAGCCCAGCCAAGCAAAGGGATGTCAATGAACATTTTGCCAGGCCTCCCTTCCTTTCCCCCAAATTGGACAGGACAAGTGCAGTCGAACCCCTCCAAAAGGGAAAGCTGTGAAATCTCTCCTTCTCCAACCGCTGAAATCAACCCAAATCAAAGCCATCGCATCCCATTAAACTGAAGTTCTGCTAAAGATGAAGTTCATCCAAAAGTGACATCTAAACATCTGGAATTCTGGCACGATCCAGCTTTGTAATCAAAAAAAGCCACTTCTCAATCCCAGGCCTGCCCCACTGAGCCTGCGGATTTTGTTGTGCTTGGATAGAGAGTTCGTCAGGAAGCTGGGAGGACCTTCTTTTCCTCTGATGAGTCAGCAGTTTGCACCAAGAAGCTCACAGACCACACCAAGGGGGCAGAGTTCAAAGCCTGTTCTGGCCTTTTATGGATTTCCAGAAACCCCCCAAATAAGCGCTATCTTCCATCCCAGATCTCTTCCTTCTGACCACAAACACCGGGGGGCGGGGTGTTGGATGAGGGCAAACAGGACTAGACTAGACTTAAGTGAGTTGATCACAAAACGTAGCCTGGCAAAGTTTAGGGCAGGTAAACATCAGAACACAAAGCGAGAAGTCTGGAGAATTGGAAGGAAGAGATGGGCTGGTTAGCTTGAAGCCAGGCTGGCAAGCACAAGCCATCTCTCTGAGCCCATGGACTCCTGAAATTATGAGCGCCACCCTCGGGTGCTCCTGCAAATTGGGTTCTCTGGTTAGTCACAAAACACCACACTCTGCAAAACAGTCTACAACCACCATGCTATTCTATCCCTGTCAAGACAATGCGGAGTCTATTTAATTGCCGTTGGATAGAAAGCAGGATGACCTCTGTGTGGGTGCTGCTGGCATCCCAGGGAAGGTGGTTTCAAGGGTTCCTGAGCAGGAGAGCACCTGAGGATACATCATCATACAGGTCCTGCTTCGGTTGCCAAAAAACTGCGGCTCTTTCAGCCAGTCAATTTATGACTGAATGAAGAGAGTCAATTTACATTCCATTAAGACTTAAGCAGATGTTGCCCCCACAGGAGAACTTAAAAATGCAAATCTATTCCCCTTGTCAAACCTTCATCTGCAACAGGGCAGTGATGTCAGCTTATGTCAGAAAGTTCTTGTCAGGAAACAGGCATCTTTGTCAAGGATTTGAGCTCCTTGAGATCAGCTGTTGTAAGGCATCTTAATGCAGAGAAAGCTGAATTAATAAGACTCTATTGATCTCTGAAAGGCCAGAAGCCAAGCAGCCCAGCTGCTTTATGGATAAAAAGGGAAACGATCAATCAATGCTCCAGACTTTATGTCCATTTGCAAGGATGTTCTTTTTCCAAACATAGCAAACTACGCTCAGAGCATCTGAAGAAGACGACTCCAGGAAAATCAATGACATCCCTGGACAAATTAGGGCAGTGGTCTCTTTCTGAAAGAGGCCCAAAGGCCGCTGTTCCAACAGTGGAGATGCGGAGATGTTCACAAATCCACCCTCCTCACAACTCTGGATTCTCAACCCATTATACTTAATGTTTCTAGCCTGCCAGCTGCTTTCTTGACCCAGACCTTTGCTTACCTACCCGGAGGATCACCACTCAGAACAGGACAGGCATGGGAAAGAGCCAATCACAGGATTATGGGGTTGGAAGGGACCTTGAAGGTCTTCTGGTCCAACCCCCAGCCCATTGCAGGACTCCTCATACCATTCTGGACAAATGGCTATTGGCCCCTTTTTTTGGAAAACCTCCAGGGATGCAGCACCCACAACTTCAGGAGGCAAGCTGTTCCACAGCTTAGAAACTCAATCAATCAATCAAGGGTTTCAGAACTGGCTTACTAATCAAGAGCTTCTGCCACTGTCTGCAATTCAATTTTGGCACCCAGACGAGCTGGATAGTTGCTGGGGTGCCCAAGGGAAAAGAATTTCTCCCTCTTCCTTTATTTATGAGCTACATCTCAAAAATAAGCCGCCAGCAAATCCCTTCCACTGCACACAACCGAGATGGAACTTCACCTTTCAAAGAGCATCACCCGGAGCAGCCTTTTATCCTGGCACTGTGGCTTCCATCTCGTGGTGAGGCAGTTCAATTTTGTGCTCCACAAAGCAGCCAAGAATTTAGCAGACGTGAGAAGCAGTAAATCCATCCCAGCCTGTGTCAGGATGAGAGCTGCTCCAGTTGGACAAACTCACTCTGATGCTCTTTCTTGGCAGGTGCCAGGCTGGGACTGGCATCCTGCTGAGGCTGCAGCTCAGCCTTCCCCTGACGAGAGTGTCTCAGGAGGGGCCGCGCTGGGCTGAGTGGGCTAGGGGGAAAGAAATCTCAACCCCTCTGCCCCTGAGCCCCTGCCTTTTCAGGGTGCAAGAAGGGGGGTTGCGAGCAGAGGAGTTAAAAAAAGCTTACAAGACATCCTCATGACCAGTAAAAGCGCCTTTCCTTAAAAAAGAAAAAAGAAATGTCTATTCTCATGGAAAGAAATGAGAGACAGTGGAGCATTGGAAGAAAGATAATCTATCTGGGGAATTCTGGGAGTTGAAGTCCACTAGTCTTAAAGTTGCCAAGGTTGGACCCCCCCCGGTGTAAATCTAGCAAACAAGAATGTACCTTCTCTCTGCAGAGAGCAAAATGTCTTTTGGGGAGAAAGGAAAACTTTCACTTTTGAATTTCTTGGATTTTATCCAAAGCGAAAGTGCTTTCTCGCCAAAAGCAGAAGTAACTCAGATTTGGCCCAAACTCTTTGGCTCATAAACATGCAAAAAGTTTAATTCTGCCTATGGTGCAGAAGGGTCTCATCTGACTTTGTTAGTGGATGTGCAAGTACAACACGCCCACCTACACACATCCCTTATTGGCAGAGATCCCAGGAGGGCAAATTTTGGAGTTGGGACTCCCTTTGCACAAATCCCATTCTGTTTTGGTAAGCGTCTTCCACATCCTTTCATTTGAAAAAAAAAAACTGTTAGAATGAGTAATAGTCTCTCTTCAAGATGTTCTTCTTCTCTGAAGGAAATAACATATTGCCCACCTGGGACCAAATTCTACATTTTGTACCATGAGCTCAGACTTGGTGATC